GGCCATTCTCTGTGTCCAGACCCCTGCACACACCTGCCCTGTAGGGCTCTGCAACGATCACACCCCCTTACCCCACCACCTAGATACTTAATAACTGCCTTGGGGAAACTGAGGCACCCCCACACTATTCAGAGGAAACATTAAGAACAGTCCCACTTCGTCACAACACCTCACTGCCCTGCGGGGTCTGGGGCATTCTGCACTGGCTGCTCCCCATCGGGGAACAACCCAGTGAGAGCCGGCTCAGCTCGCATAGTGATGGCCAGGTCCATAGAATCAAAGAATCTCAGGGTTGGAAGGGAGGTCATCTAGTCCCACCCCCCGCTCAAAGTAGGACCAATTCCTAATTTTTGCCCCAGATCCCTAAATGGCCCCCTCAGGGATTGAACTCACAACCCTGGGTTTAGCAGGCTAATGCTCAAACCACTGAGCTAGCCCTCCTCCCCAGCTACTTAGCCAGCATGTAGAAGGAGGGGGTTGTAGGGCGGCCCCCCACTGGGCTGTGACTGGGGACCTCCAGAGTTGGGACAGCCGGGTGCTGCAAGAGACTCCGACCTTCTGTGGTTCAGGTGCACACTGGGGAGCAGGTTACACTGGCCCTTGGCCACCTGGGGACCTAGAAGCCGCTGGGGCTCCTTACAGGCCCCTTAGACTGCGAACCGCTTTGGCAAAGGGTGGGTGCCCCTCTCCTCCCCACCAATTCCTCTGGGCACTCCCTGCTACCCACCTGCACCACGTCAGGTCAACTCCTCCTCTCCCAGGCTCCTAGCATGGCCAAGCGATGGGAGAGCAGGGCGGGCCTGATGGAGGAGTGACCAGGGCTGCATGACACCCCACACGCTGCTGGCATTGTCCCCCCTGCAGCTTCACGGCCAGGAGGGGACCCTGCGAACACAGGAGAGACCTTGGGGAGGGGGAGACTTGGTCCGACTCTGCCCTCTGAGCCTGGCCTCAGATCGCATGCCCTGATTCTCATGGGTGACTTTAATTTTCCTGATATCTGCTGGGAGAGCAATACAGCGGTGCATAGACAATCCAGGAAGTTTTTGGAAAGCGTAGGGGACAATTTCCTGGCGCAAGTGCTAGAGGAGCCAACTAGGGGGGGCGCTTTTCTTGACCTGCTGCTCACAAACCGGGTAGAATTAGTGGGGGAAGCAAAAGTGGATGGGAATCTGGGAGGCAGTGACCATGAGTTCAGGATCCTGACACAGGGAAGTAAGGTAAGCAGCACGATACGGACCCTGGACTTCAGGAAAGCAGACTTCGACTCCCTCAGGGAATGGATGGCCAGGATCCCCTGGGGGACTAACTTGAAGGGGAAAGGAGTCCAGGAGAGCTGGCTGTATTTCAAGGAATCCCTGTTGAGGTTACAGGGACAAACCATCCCGATGAGTCGAAAGAATAGTAAATATGGCAGGCGACCAGCTTGGCTTAATGGTGAAATCTTAGCGGATCTTAAACATAAAAAAGAAGCTTACAAGAAGTGGAAGGTTGGACATATGACCAGGGAAGAGTATAAAAATATTGCTCGGGCATGTAGGAATGTTATCAGGAGGGCCAAATCGCACCTGGAGCTGCAGCTAGCCAGAGATGTCAAGAGTAACAAGAAGGGTTTCTTCAGATATGTTGGCAACAAGAAGAAAGCCAAGGAATGTGTGGGCCCCTTACTGAATGAGGGAGGCAAACTAGTGACAGAGGATGTGGAAAAAGCTAATGTACTCAATGCTTTTTTTGCCTGTTTTCACTAACAAGGTCAGCTCCCAGACTGCTACGCTGGGCATCACAAAATGGGGAAGAGATGGCCAGCCCTCTGTGGAGATAGAGGTGGTTAGGGACTATTTAGAAAAGCTGGACGTGCACAAGTCCATGGGGCCGGACGAGTTGCATCCGAGAGTGCTGAAGGAATTGGCGGCTGTGATTGCAGAGCCATTGGCCATTATCTTTGAAAACTCGTGGCGAACCGGGGAAGTCCCGGATGACTGGAAAAAGGCTAATGTAGTGCCAATCTTTAAAAAAGGGAAGAAGAAGGATCCTGGAACTACAGGCCAGTCAGCCTCACTTCAGTCCCTGGAAAAATCATGGAGCAGGTCCTCAAAGAATCAATCCTGAAGCACTTGCATGAGAGGAAAGTGATCAGGAACAGCTAGTATGGATTCACCAAGGGAAGGTCATGCCTGACTAATCTAATCGCCTTTTATGATGAGATTACTGGTTCTGTGGATGAAGGGAAAGCAGTGGATGTATTGTTTCTTGACTTTAGCAAAGCTTTTGACACGGTCTCCCACAGTATTCTTGTCAGCAAGTTAAGGAAGTATGGGCTGGATGAATGCACTACAAGGTGGGTAGAAAGCTGGCTAGATTGTCAGGCTCAACGGGTAGTGATCAATGGCTCCATATCTAGTTGGCAGCCGGTATCAAGTGGAGTGCCCCAAGGGTCGGTCCTGGGGCCGGTTTTGTTCAATATCTTCATAAATGATCTGGAGGATGGTGTGGATTGCACTCTCAGCAAATTTGCGGATGATACTAAACTGGGAGGAGTGGTAGATACGCTGGAGGGGAGGGATAGGATACAGAAAGACCTAGACAAATTGGAGGATTGGGCCAAAAGAAATCTGATGAGGTTCAATAAAGATAAGTGCAGGGTCCTGCACTTAGGACGGAAGAACCCAATGCACAGCTACAGACTAGGGACCGAATGGCTAGGCAGCAGTTCTGCGGAAAAGGACCTAGGGGTGACAGTGGACGAGAAGCTGGATATGAGTCAGCAGTGTGCCCTTGTTGCCAAGAAGGCCAATGGCATTTTGGGATGTATAAGTAGGGGCATAGTGAGCAGATCGAGGGACGTGATCGTTCCCCTCTATTCGACATTGGTGAGGCCTCATCTGGAGTACTGTGTCCAGTTTTGGGCCCCACACTTCAAGAAGGATGTGGATAAATTGGAGAGAGTCCAGCGAAGGGCAACAAAAATGATTAGGGGACTGGAACACATGAGTTATGAGGAGAGGCTGAGGGAGCTGGGATTGTTTAGCCTGCAGAAGAGAAGAATGAGGGGGGATTTGATAGCTGCTTTCAACTACCTGAAAGGGGGTTCCAAAGAGGATGGCTCTAGACTGTTCTCAATGTTAGCAGATGACAGAACGAGGAGTAATGGTCTCAAGTTGCAGTGGGGGAGGTTTAGATTGGATATTAGGAAAAACTTTTTCACTAAGAGGGTGGTGAAACACTGGAATGCGTTACCTAGGGAGGTGGTAGAATCTCCTTCCTTAGAGGTTTTTAAGGTCAGGCTTGACAAAGCCCTGGCTGGGATGATTTAACTGGGAATTGGTCCTGCTTTGAGCAGGGGGTTGGACTAGATGACCTTCAGGGGTCCCTTCCAACCCTGATATTCTATGATTCTATGATTCTATGACCCGGGTGGGCAGCCCTGCCATGGAGCGCTGCACCCTAGCATTTCAAGGGACGGTCAAGTCATTAGCCGCATTTTATGGATGGGAGAAACTGAGGCCCAGGAAAGTGAATCCAGCTCTTCCGCACCTGAGCCCCAACCACAGCTTGTCCAGTTCTGCCCCAGGACTGTGATCACAGCTGGGGAACTCAACCGGCTTCCATGGAGCTACAGTGAATGACACCCGGTGGGATCTGGCCCATTGGCTTCAATGGAGGAAGGCTGAGTTACACCAGCTGAGGATCTGGCCTTATCCTACAGCCCCTCTTAGGGAGCAGATCATGAGGAGACACGTCCATGTTCCCTGAGCTTGGCCCCCTGAGCCAGCTGCTCCGCTGCTCCCCCTGCACACAGCAGGAGAGCCCCAAACCCAAAACGACTGCAGGAGTTTGTGACTTGGGAGCCCCCCCGGGTGGGGGCAGCACAAGGCTTGGAGCTGTCAGGAAGCGGGAGGCTCCCAGGTTCCCTGGGGGTGGAGGCGGAGTTTGACACAGGGGAGCAGGGCAGCTGCAAATGCTGGCAGGTGTTTTTGTTCCATAGCTGTTAGCAGGGATCAGAGCCCTGCTCTGCCGGGCAGGGGTCTGTCTGGGTGGCAGTGAGGATGTGACAGGATGAGGGGTGCAGCAGGGGATTTCCCACGCCGGGGGGTGGGGTGTCTCTGCACCTATTGCAGCCCATGCCCCTGGGGGCAGGAAGGGGAGCTATCCCCGTTCTGGGCCCAGGCTCTCCCAGGAAGGGTCACCATGATGGGGAACAGTGCCGGGACCCAGGCGGTGGGGGAGCGCAGGCACGCCAGTCCCAGCCTGTCCCAGCAGGAGGCGCTGTGGGAAATGGTGCAGGACCACTGACGGTGCGGGCCTTCCCAGCTACTCCAGTCCCAGCCTCTCCCACCAGGAGGAGCTGCAGGGAATGGGGCAAAAGCAGCAGGTCTGATGGGGGACCCAAGTGTTTCGAGGGAGGGATAGTTCAGTGCTTTGAGCATTGGCCAGCTAAACCCAGGGTTGTGAGTTCAATCCTTGAGGGGGCCATTTAGGGATCTGCGGCAAAAAGAAAATGGGGATTGTGCCTGCTTTGAGCAGGGGGTTGGACTAGATGATCTCCTGAGGTCCCTTCCAACTCTGATAGTCTATGAGTCTTGCTCGAGCCCGCACGGCAGAGGAGGGTCTCGAACCCAGGTCCGCTGCCTTGTAGGGCTGCCGAGCACGTGCTGATACGAGCAGCGGACAGGCCGGGACTTGGTAGCAGACAGGGAGTGGGGATGAAGGGTGTCATCTGGAGATGGGTTCTGAGATCCACTTGCAGGACAGCCAGATGGGTGCCCTGTTCCCTTCCCCTTGGGCTGGCCAGGCCAGCTGGGAGAACTGGGCTGTTTAATGGCTGCTGCAGACACTACCCTCTAATTGGGGGTGGGGGGCTGATCCCATTCGGAGACACCCCCCGTCACTGACCCAGTTAGCTCCCCACCTGCTCCCAGCCGGACCTCGGGGGGCATTTCTGGTCATCCTGTCACCTCCCACCCCGTGCCTGACACGCTCCTGTTTTGCCTCCCCTACAGGTCTAGGGCAGGCCGGCCCTCGGTGATGGAATACCGACCCCGGCCGGACTTCCAGCCACACCTGACATCGCTGCCCTACCAAACGGGGAGCCAGCGGATGGGGATCCTCACCGTGGGCGGGCCCCAGGCCCTGGGGGACAGGCCTTGCCGAACAAGGCACCATGTGGCCGTCTGCAAGCAGGAGAGTTTGTCCTTCGTGGAGCTGCCCAACCTCCAGCCTCCTAGTCAAGGAGATTTTAGTCTTGTCCCATGCTCCTCGGAGGGCCTGGGGCTCCCCATCTCCCACAGCAACCCCATGGACGGGCGGGGAAGCCCGCAGTTGAGCCCCGAAGGCTGGTCCCCCAGTCATCACAGCTACCCAGACTTCCACCCCAGGCTGGGCTGGATCCCAGACTCTGGGGTCCCCTTTGGAGGCGATGCTGCGGGTGGGGGCTCTGGGACTCACCCAGGGGTGGTGGAGATTGCTGCCCCCCAGGGATGGCAGGTGGTAAGGAAAGCAGACAGCTGGCCTCACGGCAGCTCCTTCGAGCTGCCCTCGCCTGTCCACGACGTCATCAGTGGGCCCACGAGCCCCCTGCCGCTGCCCAAGTCCCAGGGGCAAGGATCCCATGGGGTGGAGAAGGAGAAGTTGGCCTGTGAGTATTGCGTGCTGGGAAAAGGCGGGCCTCATGGGGGAGGCTGGAGAGGGAGGGCAGGCAGAGGGGGTCCATCTGGCAGGGCATGCTAGGGAGGAGGCATAGAGCTAAAGGCCAGAAGGGAACATTTATGATCTTCCACTCTACTCTCCGGTCATGCTCCTCCTGCACAGGGGTGAGGCCTGTGTTCGAACAGAAGGAGCAGGGGTCTAGTCCCAAGCTCTCCAGATGCAGGGGGTCCCTGCAGTGACTTAAAAGCATGAGTGCTAATCTCAGGGCAGAGTGTTAGGGCAGAACCCCCTGACTGGTTGTGAGTTCAGTACTTGGATTTCACCAAGAAAGGACCAAGGGCAAACCCCTCCGGCCCTGTAACAGCCCTAACCATGGAGTCCCAGCCAGTCCCCGTGGGCACTCCGATCTGTCTTGCCACCCAGCTGAGTCTGCCTTTGTGATAGATGGTCCCTTACACCAAGGATCACAGCAGTACTCAGATTAATCCCAGTCCCAAAGGACCAGTCGCTTACCCCAGGTCAATAGAATTTTAGAGCCTACACCAAAGACAACATTTGCAGCCAGTCCTGTAATAAATGATCTGAAGATTTATTCTGGAGCAGTAGTTCTCAACCTTTTCCCATTTGCGGACCCCTAACAAACTTTGAATGGAGGTGTGGACCCCTTTGGAAATCGTAGACACGGTCTGTGGACCCCCAGGGGTCTGCGGCCCACAGGCTGAAAAGCAAAGACGCAAGCCCTGTGTGTCCCTCAGGGCTAACCCAGGAGAAGCACTGGGGATCTTTTGCTTCTGCCCAGTAAACCTTGCCCCCTTTCCCCCCAAGTCCAGGCAGCATAAAGATACAGTTCCTTCCATTTAGGGCTTTTCATTCCCTTCCCCTCTTCTGCTCTGAGCCGGAAACTCAGCTAATGGGAGGAATTCACCTGCATGCCTCATCTTCATGGGGGGGAGGAGTAAACAACAAAGTCTTTTGTCTTCTTTAATGTTCCAGACTAGTCCGCCTGGTGCGATGGGCCTTTGCCTTCCTCGCTGGGCAGACATAATCCTGCCGTGGGAGCCCAGCATTTCACACTCGTCAGTGTCTCTCTCCTCTCGGGCGATTTACACAGTCCCAGAGGCTCTCGCGAGGCAAACGCTCAAATACTGCCCTGCAATACGGGCTGCAGGCGTTCTACGTGAGATGAAGGCCGGCAGCCATGCACCAGCATTCCATAAAGTCGGAACGCTAAACACACTTAGATAAGTGCCTGTTTTAGCAATCCCAATGCCCAGGTGAGCCAGATGGCTTGCAGCTAGGTAGCTGCCAGTATTCAGCTGAGGCAGGGGGACCGTGGGATGAGCTGGCACCTGGTCTGCCAGCATCACACCAGCGCTGGAATTGACCCCCCGCCAGAGCCTGGATGTGGGACCCCGCCAGGGACGCCAGTTTTGGTTGGATGTGTGCCTGGAAGTTTCATTGCATAACATAATACTTTAATTCCTGGGGACTCCAGGAGGCAAGTATAGACCCTATGGCAGGTGCTGAGGGGGTTTCTGGGAGGCTCTTGTGCAGAACCAGTCTCCAAACCTCTAGGCTGAGCTTAGGGTGGCCCCCTGTGCAGGGTTTCCCAGGGTTGTCCCTGGTTTGAGGTAGCTGCCCCGGTAAATCTGTCAGGGTCCCAATTCCCACTGCCAGGCCAGTTTTACAGGCTCAGGATCATCCCAGATGCCCTGCTGTTCTGTACCCCAGAAGTGGCAACCCCAGCTCCTGTGTTCTGTGCCACACCCATGCCGAGAGAGCGCCGCAGTGCGGGCACGGCAAACCCCTGTCAGTAAACGACAGACCACGGAGTCCATCAGCCCCGAGAGAGAGCAATAACTCGCTGTGCCGGATGCTGCAAAGCATTCTGGGATAGCATTTCTGCAAAACTAGCAAGCCCTGCCATGCTCCCAAGGGGCCTTGGAGGTATCGTCCAGGCCATGTTTGCAGGGACTGGACCTGTTCAGGGAGCAGATAAGAGGAGCTCAGTGAGCCGCAATCCAAAGTTTGAAACAGTAACACGCAATAGATCATATCACCTTGTTGTCCTGGTCACACATGGCCCCCCGTAATAGCCCCCCTTGGATAGTGCCCGCTGGGATCATAGGAAGGCAGCTGACCCTGGAAAATGCTGTTTATTTTCTTACTGTGCAGCGTCTGGTTTCTGACAGGGAGGACGGCCCAGTGGTTTTAGGGCCCTCGCCTGGGAGCCCCGGGTTCAGCTGGAACCCACTTAGCACTGCCACTGACTACGCAGGACCCGGAGTTAAATCCAGCTCCCTGGCCTGGCGCAGGGCTGCGCCAGGAGCAAACTCCAGTGCCCTCTCCCCAAGCTGAGCTGGCTCCTGCATGTGTGACAGGAGCAGAGGGCGGCGCACACCTCTCGGGAGGCAGCCCCTATGACACACAGCTGGGCAGATGCGCACTGCCTGCCATCTGCTCCCGCTGTCCAGGGGGAACAAGGCTGGAGGTGAAATCCAGCTGGCTATGTGCACATCACACGCCCTGGTGCCCCAGGGGAGACACAGTCCTGCCGTGCCAGGGTCCGAGGCCCAGCTCCTCAAAGAGCTTAGGTGCCTAACTCCCATGGGCCCAACTAATTCCATCTGGAAACATGTCTGCGAACAGTAACGTGCACACACGAGCCCACAGCTTTGCTTGCTGGTGCAACCGCACGTTGGCTGCTCGCTGCACCTAGAGGGAGGCCAGCCTGCCGGCTGGGAGTCAGGAGGCCCAGATTCTATTTCAGGATCAGCCATCGGCTTCCTCTGTGCCTCAGTTTCCCCCTCTGTAGAACAGGAAACATCCTGTCTCACAATGGGGGCAGAGGAAGGGGCAGCTGTGGGGCTTGATTCGCTGCGACCCCTGGCCAGAAGCTGCTGTAAAGGTCGGGCATTGTTGTGAAAACAGGTAGGAACAGGCAGAGACGGGCTCAGCATTCTGGGGTCCTGGGGGTGGAAGGTCACGCACATGCCTTGTGTGTTTCGTGCTCCCTTCTGATGATTAATCCACGGAGAGGATAATAGCCTTCTGCTGCTGCCAGGGGGTGGAGCTCCTCCTTCAGCTCAAGTGGCAGAGGTCTGTGCTAGCACTCCTGGGCTTGAGCCCTACTGATGCCCCGTGTGGCGGGTAGCACTGTGAGGCTGGGAAAGCTCCCAGCGCGGCAGGCCCTGAGTTCCAGGGGATGGAGCAGCCCCATGAGCTGTCTCCCCTGGGCAGCTCCGCTCTGCTGGACCCAATCAGCCCTGCTTCCACATGCCCCGCTTTCCTGCTAGCTGGGGCCCAATCCTCACCGTAGCTCCTCTCTCCTTCCAGGGAGGAAGATCAGGGTCTACTCCCCCGAGACCCTCAGTGACACGTCCCCCAGCCTGGATGGAGACACCGTTTTCCCAGGCTCCCCAGTCCACGAGGACGGCAGGTGTGCGGGGGAGCTCGCGCTGCGGGGGATGGAGCCGCTGGACCTGAGGCCAGCTCCTGAGGGGCCTCCCCACGAGGTGCCCGAGACACTGGACCTGGCGCTGCCCCTCTGCTCGGCTGGCCGGAGCGCCAAGGGCTTGGCAGAGCAGGAGAGGCGACGCTTCTCGGCCTCGGAGCTCATGAACAAGCTGCAGCTGTCTCAGCGCAGGGCCACCTTCTCCCTCAAGCTGGGCAAGTCTCTCTCTGCCAGGAGCGCTTCCAAGGAGAAAGGGGCTTGGGCGAGCCAGGAAGGTATTGGGATTCTCACACTGGGCTAACTGGTCAAACCGGTATGGTCGGCTTGGGGCCTTTCTTTCTTTCTTTCTTTCTTTCTTTCTTTCTTTTGACTCCAACCCCTTTGCATCAAATGCTCTGTCCCACTATAGCGCCAGGTTAGTGGCTTTCATGCTATGGTGTACAGGCCTGTGGTCCTTGGTGCCCATCCTGGGGGATCTCCCTCCCCGTCCACATTCAGTGGGGAGGTCTGGGAGTGATGATGGTGGGTCCACAAGGTCTCTCTCATCAAGTGGTCCCCCCAAATGAAGACGGTGGAGAACCATGTTCCTGGGAGGAGACATGGGCGGAAGGGGCACATCTGTAATGTCAGCTCCCCCCACCCAGCAGGGACCCCCTGAAAGCGTGAGACGGGGGTGGAGTCTCCATGGCCATGGTGAAGAGACTGGGTGGAATCCTGGACCGCTGTCCCTCTCTTCCCCCATCATTGCATAGGTGCATGATGGGATTCTCCCTCTTCCCCTGAGCTGTTAGGCCTGTTGGAGGCAGGTTAGCGATGGACCAGTGGAGGCAGGGGAGGAAGGGCGCCCTGACTCAGACCCCAGCCCAACTCCTCCCTGATCAGCTGTGAAGCTGCCGTCCATCCTTGCAGGTAAACTGAATGGAAGGGAGAAGAGTTGCAGCAGCATGGGCAGTGATGGCCTCCCATCCCCAGAGTCACCCAGTGAGCCAGGGAACGTCTGGCCCAGGTAAGGCGTGCGGGGAGAGCCGATGGCCCTAGGGGGGTGTTCCCAGCCCACCAGAAGGCACAGGCTAATGGGCAGGCTGCAGGGATCTGGACCGTCAAGAGAGGGAGGATGGAGGAAGGTGATGCTGAGTTCCTTGGAGGAGCTGGATTTCCCAGGGCATGGGCTGGTGGGGACTGGGCTGCAAACCCAGTTACCGGTGAGAGCTGTGAACCAGACCCCAGACGCCCAGCGCCATTAACTAAACTCAGCATCCTGATGGAGAAGGGGGTGAGCCCCCCTGGCATCTGCCCCGTGGGCCTGAGCCCAGCCCCACGATGTGGGGAGTGTGTCCCCCATTTCACCCACTGCAGGCCCGTAGGCATGTCTGAGCCAGGCTGGATGCCAAGGGGAGAGGCACACGAAAGGCGTTTCTCAGCCTCTCTGTTTTCTAATCATCTTTTATCTCTCTCCTTTTCTTTTCTTTTTTTTTTGAGTTTTTGATTTTTTTAAGAAGATCCTAAAATAACCAATAAATGATCCGCTCAGTGTTCACCTGGCGCTAACACCTGGCCCAATAGGCAGGCTCTGGCCACTCTGGTGTTTGGAAGCGGGAGGGAACACCCAGCCAGGATGGCTCCACCCTCCTTGCAACATGCTGATGGCTTTGCAAGGTGCATGTCACACCCCTTGGACTGGTGTGATGCCTGTCCCAGGTGCAGGGCAATGGAGGAGCAGGGCTGTGTCCATAGGGCTGGGCACAGTGTCTCCACCTGCCGGGGGGTGGGGCAGTGAAAGTAGTGACAGCAGAGAGACCCTGTCCCGCTGGCTCATTCCCACTGCCTGATCTGGGTCTGGGTGACACCTGCTCTCACTCCTGATCCGCACTGGGGTTAGTGAGCTCAGGATCAGGCCCCATGGTGCAATTCAGCCCTCAGGCCCTGATCCTCCACCCTACAAGTCAATGGGAGGGGAGGGGTGCAGACTCCAGTCCTCACCCCCCACCTCCATGTGTTCCTCTCTGTAGGAGCGAGGCGGAGCCGGAGGGGTGCCTGAGCGCTTTGGTCCAGCACGAGAAGCGGCAGTCGAGGTTCCTCCTGAACTGTAAGCAGCCGGCTCGTCCCTCCCGGGGGATTTCCCCTCTGCCTTTAGAAACCCACATCCCAGCTGGAGCTGTGCTCAGGCTGCAGCTGTCAGGACAGCCGTGCCAAGCCCTTTAACGCCAGGGCAGGGGTTGCAGGTCCCCCACCCCCTAGCCAGCCAGCGAACCCCTATCTTGGGCATCGGCTGCCTGGTCCAGAACCAGCTGACAGCAGAGGGCACAGACGCCGGAGAGAAGTGCCTGCCTGAAATGGGCACAGAGGGAAGGAGCTGTTGGCCTGTGCCTCTGGCCTGGCTAGATGGCAGAGGGCAAAGCTGGCACGGACCCTCCCCTCTGCCCTTATGGCCAGGCCCCTTCTCCCCAACCCAGCCCTTAGACCCAGGCCAGTCCCCCTGCTCCTAGCCATAGTGCCCCCCCACACCCAGACCATGCCCACATGGGGTTACCCTAGGGCCCCCGGAGGGGTGTCTCATTTGCCCCGGGGATGGCGTCTCGTTCTCTGCTGAAGGGCCCCCTCGGCCCAGCTGACCCCTCCTCCCCCTAGCCATCCTGTACCAGGAATACAGCGATGCCGCCACCGCCCGGGAGATCCAGCGGCAGCAGCGGGAGGACGCCCAGGCGGCGGAGGAGGAGGAGGAGGAGGAGAAGGAGGAGGCCGACCTGGCACAGCCCAAGCCCAACCTGTCGCCCAGCAGCTCCTTCTGTTCGCAGCGCTCGTCCCGCGGCTCCACCTTCTCGCTGTGGCAGGACATCCCGGATGTGCGGAGCAGCGGGCTGCTCAGCACCATCAGCCTCCAGGAGTGCAAGCTGCAGGAGGTGAGGGGGAGCCGGCCCCCTGCTCGGAGTGTGGGCACCGTGACGCAAAGCGTTTCCCAGCGCTTGGCCAGCCACCGCCGACACAGAGCCAGGCCTGGCACTTACTGGGCATCGTCCCTGCCCCGGGGCCACCAGGGCTGGCGGGACCCTCCTGGGCCAGCGGGTTCCTCCCATAGATTCCATTGTTCTTGGGCCCACGGTGTCCATTCGCTTCAGTCGCCCTTCCCCCTCCCCGGGGCTCCCCCCAACGCATTCACAGGGCCATCACCAGTACTAGGCTAGCAGGGGGCTGCGGGTCAGGACTGAGGGGCATTGGCAGAGCTGAGGGAAGGGGGGAGCACAGGGCTGGGATAGCAGGGGGCTGCAGGTCAGGACTGAGGGGCACTGGGAGCTGGGGAAGGGGGGAGCACAGGGCTGGGATAGCAGGGGGCTGCGGGTCAGGACTGAGGGGCACTGGGAGCTGGGGAAGGGGGGAGCACAGGGCTGGGCTAGCAGGGGGCTGCGGGTCAGGACTGAGGGGCATTGGCAGAGCTGAGGGAAGGGGGGAGCACAGGGCTGGGATAGCAGGGGGCTGCGGGTCAGGACTGAGGGGCACTGGGAGCTGGGGAAGGGGGGCAGGGGGGCGGGTAGGACTGAGGGGCATTGGAGAGCTGAGGGAAGGGGGAGCACAGGGCTGGGCTGCAGGGGTGCGGGTCAGGACTGAGGGGATGGAGAGTGAGGGAAGGGGGAGCACAGGGCTGGGCTAGAGGGGGCTGCGGGTCAGGACTGAGGGGCATTGGAGAGCTGAGGGAAGGGGGAGCACAGGGCTGGGCTAGCAGGGGGCTGGGGTCAGGACTGAGGGGCATGAGAGGAGGGAGGGGGAGCACAGGGCTGGGCTAGCAGGGGCTGCGGGTCAGGACTGAGGGGCATTGGCAGAGCTGAGGGAGGGGGAGCACAGGGCTGGGCTAGCAGGGGGCTGCGGGTCAGGACTGAGGGGCATTGGCAGAGCTGAGGGAAGGGGGGAGCACAGGGCTGGGCTAGCAGGGGGCTGCGGGTCAGGACTGAGGGGCATTGGCAGAGCTGAGGGAAGGGGGGAGCACAGGGCTGGGCTAGCAGGGGGCTGCGGGTCAGGACTGAGGGGCATTGGCAGAGCTGAGGGAGGGGGGAGCACAGGGCTGGGCTAGCAGGGGGCTGCGGGTCAGGACTGAGGGGCATTGGCAGAGCTGAGAGAAGGAGGGAGCACAGGGCTGGGCTAGCAGGGGCTGCGGGTCAGGACTGAGGGGCATTGGCAGAGCTGAGGGAAGGGGGGGAGCACAGGGCTGGGCTAGCAGGGGGCTGCGGGTCAGGACTGAGGGGCATTGGCAGAGCTGAGGGAAGGGGGGAGCACAGGGCTGGGCTAGCAGGGGGCTGCGGGTCAGGACTGAGGGGCATTGGCAGAGCTGAGGGAGGGGGAGCACAGGGCTGGGCTAGCAGGGGGCTGCGGGTCAGGACTGAGGGGCATTGGCAGAGCTGAGAGAAGGGGGGAGCACAGGGCTGGGCTAGCAGGGGGCTGCGGGTCAGGACTGAGGGGCATTGGCAGAGCTGAGGGAGGGGGGAGCACAGGGCTGGGCTAGCAGGGGGCTGCGGGTCAGGACTGAGGGGCATTGGCAGAGCTGAGGGAGGGGGGAGCACAGGGCTGGGCTAGCAGGGGGCTGCGGGTCAGGACTGAGGGGCATTGGCAGAGCTGAGGGAGGGGGAAGCCCAGGGAGACACAATGCCACTGGTGCTGCATGCCCTGTCACAGAACCCGTGCCCTCTCTAGGGTGGCCAACTTTCTCATTAGTGAAAACCAGACACTTAGCACCGGAATCTCCCCCGCACCCTGCTCCACCTCTTCCCCGAGGCCCCACCCCTTGCTCCATCTCTTTCCCTTGAGGCCCCACCCCTGCTCCTCTTTCTCCCCCCCCCCACTGTGGCTCGTTGCTCTCTCCACCACACTCCCCCTGCCAGCTGAGCAGGGCTCTAAGGGTGGAGGGGTGACTGGGGCAGGGTGGGGGAGGGAGAGCCAGGCTCTGGGATTTGGGGGGGGGGTGAGTGGGGCAGGATAGGGGAGCTGCTGGTACCCCTCTCCACCAGAGCCATTCCTGAGTGCTCCGCCAGGCTCCAGCAGCAGCTGTTGCTCTTCCCACCCCCCAGTGGCGGAGGCCAGTTACTGCAGGTAACCGCACTTTTAGTGTCCGGTCAGCCCTGCCGACTGGACACTGCCAGGTTCCCTTTTTGAGTGGCCGCAGCGTGAGGACGCCCTGGCAGAGGAGGAGGAGGAGGCCGCCCTGGCGCCGCCCAAGACCAACCTGTCGAGGGTTCCCCCTCGCTCTTGCCCCGGCAGGCCAAGTTTGAGCTGATCACCTCGGAGGCCTCCTACATCCACAGCCTCTCCATCGCGGTGCAGCACTTCATGAACTCACGGGAGCTGAACGAGTGCCTGGGAGCCCAGGAGAAGCAGTGGCTCTTCTCCAAGCTGCCCGAAGTGAAGGACGTCAGCGAAAGGTCAGCTTCTCCCAGGGGATGGGGCCTTTTGACCTCCTGCAAGGTGCTGTTGGGGAGCGGGGGCGGGGGGGGTGAGACAGGAGCGAGCCGAGAGGCCATTTCAGGTGACCGGGGAACCCGGTTCAGGCTCTTCTCCCTGCAGCTCTGCCCAGCGCCCTGGTCCGGGGGGCCCAGGTTCTGGAGATGTTGGTGCTCAGAGCACCATGCGGTTGTGGTGCAGGCTTGTGTTGCTCTCGGGCGCTGTCTTGCAGCCCCATCTCAGGGTCTAACACCTTAGTCCAGGGCTGTGGGGAGCTGAGGACCCTTCTCCAGACAGGAGGGAGACCATTCCCAGCGACGCTGAGATAGAGCCGGGGCCTCGAGCATCCCCGGGCGTGACCAGGGCAGCGGCATCACGCCCCCACCCAGTGCTGGGAAAGGCCGGCGGTTTCCTCGGGGCCTCAGGTTCGCCTGCCCGCTAAGGCCCCGTCTCACGCCCTGGCTCCCCGGCAGGTTCCTGCTGGAGCTGGAGGAGCGGCTGGAGGAGAACATCCTGCACTTCGACATCTGCGACATCGTGCTGCGCCACTGCCCGGCCTTCCGCCGGGTCTACCTGCCCTACGTCACCAACCAGGCCTACCAGGAGCAGACCTACCAGCGCCTGCTGTGCGTGAGCCCCACGCCGCCCACAGGCCTTGCTGCTCCACAGCACCGCCCCGGGGGCCACGCAGAGAGCAGAGCTGAGCGGGGAGCTCTGGGCTGGGGGGCCAGTGAGCAGGTGGGGAGGAGCTCTGGGCTGGGGGGGCCAGTGAGCAGGCGGGGGGGGGCTCTGGAGTGGGGGACCGGTGAGCAGGCGGGGGGGGCTCTGGAGTGGGGGGCCAGTGAGCAGGTAGGGGGAGCTCTCGGCTGGGGCGGGCGATGAGCAGGAGGGTGGGGGAGCTCTGGGCTGGGGGGGGCAGTGAGCAGGCGGGTGGGGAGCTCTGGGCTGGGGTGCGCGATGAGCAGGAGGGTGTGGGAGCTCTGGGCTGGGGGGGGGCAGTGAGCAGGCAGGTGGGGAGCTCTGGGCTGGGGGGCCGGTGAGCAGGCTGCGGGGGCTCTGGAGTTGGGGGCCAGTGAGCAGGTCTGGGGGAGCTCTGGGCTGGGGGTGCTGGTGAGGAGGTGGGGGGGGAGCTTTGGGCTGCGGGGGCCAGTGAGCAGGTGGCGGGGAGCTCAGGATGGGGGGCTGTTGAGCAGGCATGGGGGAGCTCTGGGCTTGGGGGTCCCCTGTGTCCCCCACAGCCTCCTTCCCCCTTCCCTTATCTCTATGTGTCCAGCTTTGTCTCCTCTTAGCTCCTCAGGGATTTGGTCCATCAGGGATGCAGGACGGTTCTCACCAGCTTCCCCTTCCCACCACTTCCCTCCCTGGCCAGTTCGAAGGCTCCTGTCACGCCCAGTCCTGGATCCTGCTAGTTCCTGCGGGGATGTCTCCTGGAGTGGGGGTGGGGGGGGCCCTTGCCCAGTGCCAGGCCCTTCCTGTGGTGACAGCTCCTGGAGAGGGCCCTCGGGTGCTTCGATGGAGAGCCCCGGGTGCGTCGTACAGGCTCAGTGCTTGCTTCTGGCCTGATCCAACAGCCCACTCATGTCAGTGGAAAGCCTCCGCTAACTCCGGTGGGCTTTGGGGACCCGGCTGGGTGTGCTGCCCCTGACATCCCAGGAGCCTCTGCCCCTAGCACCATGGCTCTGGGGACTTGTTAAAATTCCTGTCCACATTGTTCCAGGCAGGACAATCCTAAATTCCCAGGGATCCTGGCAAAGCTGGAAGAGGGGCCAATGTGTCAGCGCTTACCTCTCACCTCCTTTCTCATCCTGCCCTTCCAGAGGGTCATGCGCTTGCAGATGCTGGTGGAGGTGAGCCCCGGGGCGGGGGGAGAGGGGACCGGGGGTGTAATTGGAGAGTATCACTCCAGCCAGAGCTGGCCTGGCATTAAAGGGAAGTGCCCTGAATTATAGGGCACCACACTGCAATCTAAGGCCTATCTCTGCCACTGACTCACTGTTTGCCCCTGGGCACGTTGCTTCCCCTCCCTGTGCCTCAGTTTCCCCCCGTCCCATGCAGATACCCTACCTTTGTGAAGTGCTTGGAGAGCTGCAGCTGAGGAGGGCTCAGTGTGACTTCATGGCCTGTTGTTCGGATTCTCTTTGTATTGTTATTACTTGGGCCAAACTCCCGATGGGCTCCCTGGGGGCTGCACCCGAGTGACAAGCGGAGCTAAGCCATTGTCAGAATGGCAGGATGTCCCCCGGAGATTGTTAAAACCCACGTCATGTTTCGTCACGAACCAACAGTGGCACTACATTGGTCCATCTTAGGCGGTTTCACTTTGCATCTCTCATGCCGAGCCCAGGCCTGCCGTGTTAGCAACCCAACAATACAGGGATTGCTTAAAACCTGCTTGCAGGGCATTCAGGCATTTCTGCTGTCTAGCTTTCTCTGTAGCCCAGAGATCAGGTTCCCCCAGACCTCCGGGTAGGCATGTTTTAAGTGCCTTACAAGGGCAGCAAGTGTCATTTTACGGATGGGGAAACTGAGGCACAGAGGGGGCGATGTGGCTTGTCCAAGGCCAGGAAACTCAGGCTGAATCTGCCTGATTCAGAGCAGGGTCTCTGGCAACTGTGGTGAGTGCTCTAACTCTTCTGGCTCTTGTGGGGTGGGTCTCTCTCTCTCTCTCTCTGAACAATTTCAGCTGTGATCCCAATAAGAAACAGGAAATTTTTTTGAAACCTCGAAAATTGTCACAGGATGGGAACACCCATGTCCCGCCCAGCTCTGTTATGAAATCTTCCCCCAGCTGTCAGCAAACATAACACGATCGCGAGCTGTCGGTGCTGTTGGGTGACAATGGGACAGAATAGCAGAGGGAGCCACTTTCTTCCAACACTGCACAAGGAACTCTCTCTGCTTCCCTGGAGAGCTTCTGCCTAGGGCTTCCCCCGTCTTAGCCCTGCCTGATGGCCTGCTCCAGATATAAAGAAACAGCTCCCAGACTGTCCCACGTGCTGCTTCCCACAGGCCTAGATAGCCGAGCCACAGGCTTGTGGCAGCAGCGGCCTCTGGGATTCACGGTTAGACCAATGGCGTGAGCTGAAGGGTTTCAGAGGCCTGGGATGTAGGGTACTGGTGACCTCAAGTGGCAGACTGGAGTCAGTGTACGCCACCCACCCTTCCCCTCTCCCTTATGCCTCACTCGATCCACACACCTGCTGGGCTATCCCTTTCTTTGGTACCAGGTCCCTAACTCTCAGTGTCTGGAAACGAACTCCCTGCACTGGCTGCTGCCCTGGTGCTTAGAACCGGTCCGGAGTACTCAGGGAACCAAGGGAGGCAGTGTGGCCTGGTGGATAGAGCAAGACCTGAGTGTTATTCCCAGCTCTGCTATTGCCTTGTTAGGTGACCTCGGGCAAGTCACAGCCCCTTCGTGCCTGTTTCCCAGCTGTAAAATGGGGGTGAAGATACTGATCTCCTTTGGGCTGTGCTTTGAGATTTCCTGATAACGGAGCTGTCTAAGAGCTAGCTATTATTGTTATTCAATGTGCAGGAGAGACCAAAGCCTCCATGGAAAGCTACCGATTTGCACTGAACCCTGATCAGACACTCTAGATTGCCACGAGATTTCCCCAGCTGCCTGGAGCTCCCAGTACAGGGGTGGGAGGGCCCAATATAAGCCCCCCAAATACTGTAAAGTGTTACCCACATGGCCAGGTACTGTGCCCGGGACGAGGACTGTTATTAAATAGCTCCTAAGCTGCTTTTTAGAACAGACTGGACCCCGTTCCTCGTGGCTCTGGACGGGGCGGACAATCACTGGCACCAGAGTGAGAGCGGATTGTTACCGCGTGGATTTGGCAGGTTTTGCCATCACTTTGCCCTGGTCTGTGTTCGCCAGGAGGCCAGAGCAGAGCACAAAGGGCCCTGTAAAGGTTTGCCGAAGGGGTAGGGTCACAGTGCATCGGGCTCAGCCTACACCAGCAAAGTCCCCTGCCACTGAGAGCTCACACTCGCATGAGGGCCCCGTTGTGCTACCGAGCGCCTGTGCTGAGATCACCGAAGTCCCCCTGGATTCACAGGGCGCCAGCCGAATTCGACCTCAAACACGCTACAGGTCTGAGTCTGTAGCTCTGGTATCAGCTGGTGCCATTGACCCATTCTGCTCCTGGGGCACTTCCCGTTGGGTTCATGCTACTGATCTGTGCCCCCGGTGCTGGTCAGGACTGCTGATCTCTGGTGCTGATGTGTTTGGCTTGGGACTGACACCCGGGGCATCTGACGCTTCTTAAGTCAATACGTTTTCTGCCTCCTGCTTGCAGAACATCCTGAAACGCACATTGCAGGGCTCCCGGGACGAGGCCACGGCCACCAAGGCCTTCAACCAGCTCAAGAAGGTAACTGGTGAAGGCTAGGAAGCGCTTTGAGAATGGTATAAAATCTCTCCACGTGGGCTGCGAGGACTGGGCTGGCTGGTGGGAGAGCAGGATGGGCACTGCTTTGTCTCCGTGACTGGAGCTGTGTGTGTGTGGGGAGGGAGGGTGTACCTTGGGGCCTTTCTGATTTGGGGATGTCTGTGACTGGGACAGGTGTCCTTGCAGGGAGAATTGTGGGTCCTCTCTGTTGTCTTGGCTCAGATTCTCCATGACACTGAGTAGCAATGTGGTGCGGCACAGAGGGGCCTGTTAGGGAATCGCTCACACCTCGGCAACACCCTGGCCATTGGCATAGGTTAGAGCAGCCTTGGGGCAGCTCTAACTTCCACCAGCTGGCAGAAACACTCCCCCCGTCCCCAGAGGACTGTGTGCCATCCGGGACTGTCTGGAGCCCAGAGCTTTCTGGGGATGACACCGGGGCCATTTCTGCTGGCTCTGCACCATCTGGGAGCTCCCTTGTCTGGGGGAGATTCTCAGCTGGCTGGCCCTGGGGGCTTTCTGGCCCCTCTGCACTGGCTGAGTGGAGATTCGGCGTGGTGGTGGCTAATGGCTCCCTCGCCTCCCCAGCTCGTAAAGGAATGCAATGCCAGCGTCCAGTCCATGAAGAGAACCGAGGAGCTCATTCATCTGAACAAGAAAATCCACTTTGAAAGTAAGGTGAGCACGGGGACTCGTCTGGGGGAAAGGGGAGGGGGGGAGAGTCCTCGGAAAGCTGGTTCCCCCCAGAAAGCAGCGAACCCAGGGAACACAGACCGGACCCAGAGAACACAGAGAACACAGACCGGATCTACCAGAGAAAGCACAGCCAGGGCGTGTGCGTCTTGGGCCGGGTGCGTCTTGGGCCAACTCCAGGGACTGCGGGAGCTACCAAAGGGGCGAATCAGCCAAATCCTCAGCTGGTGCCAATCTGTGTCCAGTGGAGAGAGACAGACGTACACCCTGTGAGGATCTGGCCCTGGGCTCTGAACAGGGTGTGCCGCCACCCAAAAGTGTTCTAGACACAGACACTTCTGGGTTCAATACTGTGTGAGTTCGACAGGGTGATGCTCGATCAGCCCTGCCTAGGAACCCAGGCTCCAGTGGGTTTAAAGTCCAGTCTCATAGCATGCAGGTGATGGGCTCTGAGTTCACATGCTGACTGGATGCCTCCTCCATATGGCCACCTATTCCGCCATGGAGACACCAGCTTCCTGCTCAGAACTGCCCCCAGAGCTGCTACCTCTGCAGCCATCTGCACGGGCCACTGCTGCTCCTGTGACCAGAGCCCTTCGCGCTCTGCATCTTTCACTGACCCCCCAGCCACTCCCACTCCCACCACAGCCAGAATAAAATGTAAAGGGCTCCCCATCCTTACCGAGCCCCAGGCTTCAGCTGAGCCACTGGGCTCCACCAGCCAAGCTCCTGGTGCAGCTGCATCATGGGAGGTTCACGCCATGGCCAGGCCGTTGGACCATTGATGTGTCGTGGGCTGGTGATCGTTGTGTCTCCGGGATGGAGCCTTACAACACCCTCCCGGCTCTGACGTCTTCTTCTCCTTTCTGGGCCTTGGCTCTCGGCAGATCTTCCCGCTGATCTCGCAGTCGCGCTGGCTCGTGAAGCATGGGGAGCTGGTGGAAGTGGACATGCAGCTCATCAGCACCCTCGCTGCCAAGTTCAAGCTCTCCACCAAGATGGTGTATCTCCACCTCTTCAATGACTGCCTCTTGCTCTCCAGGAGGAAGGAGTGAGTGGTGGGGTGGGGCGGGGCAAGGCGAGCTGTGCAGGATGGATGGGATAGTCCTGTGGAGCGTGGGTCTAGTTGGCCTGGCTCTCCTCGGCTGGAGTTCACGCGTTGGCCCCCTCGCACTCACAGGGCCGGAGGAGCAGAAGGGGGCGGTGCGCTGTCCTCCCAGCAGTGGGACGAGAACCTGGGCTAACAGGCTGTAGACAGCTCTCCTTCTGGGTCTCCGCTGGATGCCCCACTCACAGGTTCCCCTGTGCTGGGAGGAGAAAGCAGGCCACAGCTCGGGAGCAGGTGCTTGAGGCTCCCCATTCACCCTGCGGTCGGCGCTCTGAGCCCAGACAAGTTTGTGGCAGTTTCTGGCCTGCAGGGGAGAGGTCCCGGCGGAGTCTGGGGGATGTGTGGCCTGGGCCCGTCTGTCATGCTGGGCAGGCCCCAGGGTGAAAGCCGATCCTGCCCGTGCCTCGTTTCCCGGGTCCCTCCTGCACAGGAGCAGCGTGTCCTGCTCCCCAGGCGTCAGCACCTGCCACGCGCCGGCGCTGAGCAGTGGGCGCTGCTGCCCCTCGGTCACCGTCTCTCTCCCTTTGCCCGTCTCGCCCAGGACGGGGAAGTTCGCGGTCTTTGTTCACGCCAAGATGCCAGAGCTGAAAGTGACCGACCTGAGCAGGAAGCTTCACGGGGTCCCGGGACAAATCTTCCACCTCCAGCTCTTCGACAGCCAGCGGCTGAAGCACCAGGTCTTGCTGCGGGCACAGACCGAGTGAGTGCCCAGTGGGGCAGGGCCGTCTCCATGTGACACCCCCAAACACCCCAGCCCAGCTCCCGAGGGGAGGGGGAGAGAAGGCTCCTTCTCGCTGTCACCTGGCTCGGGGGAGGGTTACGACCAGCCTGGGACGGGAGCCCTTATTGCCGGCTGGCTGGTGGGGACCTGGCCAGCGGAGAGCCAGCATTTCTGGGGAGCTCCTGCCGAGTGATGGCTGGGGAGCTGTCTCTCACTCCGCCAGCAGGGGGCCTGCATAGCCCGTGAGCAGTGTCAGTGTCCCAGCAGCGGGCACAGCTGACATGGGCACCAAGCCGCATCCCCCAAGCCACCAGGCTGCCAGGTAGGGGGGGACCCAGCTGGCTCTGGAGGTAGGCTCACCAGAGTGGGAAGCATATAGTGCCCATCAGGGCAGCTCCACAGGACTCCAGCAAGGACCAGAGCTGGTCCACAGGCTGCCAAGTTTGGCCCTGCCCCCAGGACTGGATCAGAACCATCCCGGAGTTCTGGGGCATCAGGATGTGGGATTTGGGTTTGGCCTGTGTGGAGATGGGTGACCTGCTGCCGATTGGGGCTCTCCCCAGTTCTGAGCCTGTTCAGATCAGGGGGGCGGTCTGGGTGACTCTCTGGGAGCCTCGTCTGTCCTATCGGGCAGGGCTGGGCTGACCAGCTCCGTCTGGCCCTGCAGGAGTGAGAAGCAGCGGTGGATCTCGGCAATGGTCCCCTCCAGCCCCCAGACGGACAGGGAGCATGTCACCAAGAATGCAGGTACCCCTGAGAACGCGCCTGCCCCCCTCCTGCCAGGGCTTGAACCCAGCAAGGGACCAGCCTGGCTGCAGCAGGATCTCGGGTCCCAGGGGCATGACCCTGCTTTGGACATGACAGCTCTGCTGTGACTTCTGGCTTCTGTCCCTCATCCCTGGGTACTCCCCTGCCCCAAGCACCTAGCATCCAGGTGCCCCAATCACACACAGGTAACATGGTGCCATGGAGCAGTCAGTCCTCTGTCAGGCCAGCGCCAGCCTCCCCGTTTCTGGAGTCATGCGCCCCTCACTGCTCCCAGCAGAGCTCAGGCAGGGCTGGACTGGCTCAGGGGGGATGTGTCCGGCCACATCACTAGGGAGATTTTGTCCCCGGTGGAACCTCGAGGGTCCCAGAGTGGGTAGAAGCAGCCTTCCCTCGGATCCCAAACCCCTGCCCCAGGGTCCCGGGCAGTACGTGACCCTCTGTGTCTTGCCACTGCTTCCAGACACCGCCCAGGTCCAGTGTATCAAAGCCTACAAGGCCCAGGAGCACGACGAGCTGACCTTGGAGAAGGCAGACATCCTGGGGGTCAAGACGAGAACCAGCGACGGTGAGGGGCCCTGGCTTCGTCTCTCTTCTTCTCCCTCAAGCTGCCCTCTCCAGCCCCAACACCGCAGTGGCTGGCAGGCCGGGCAGTGCCCCCCCGCCCCCAGGCTAATGTTTCCTTCTCTCCCGCACAGGCTGGCTTGAGGGGATCCGTCTGTCAGATGGGGAGAGGGGCTGGGTCCCTCAGGGGCACGTGGAGGAGATCACCAGCCGGGGTGCCCGGCTGCGCAACCTGCGTGAGAATGACCGCATCAAGCATGCCACGAGCAAGCTGGAGGAGGAGCAGGCATAGGCCGGCCCAGGCGCCGGCCAGGGGAGACTCTGGGAACACAGTCAGAGCCCTGCGTCGTGGCAGGGCGATGGGCAGAAAGGTGGGGGCAGGACTGCTCCCGTTGCTAAGGGGCTGCTGAGCGAGCATCCTGGGCACACCCACCAAACGGCACCAGGCGATGGTAGCAACAGGCCGCGGCTTGGTGGATGATCTGCCGCGGCCTCCACGCTCCCCGCTGCTGGCTGAAGCTCCAGGGAGGGAACGAGGCCCCGGGAACCCCCTCCACAAACGGACCTGCTGTTCTGTGCTCTCTGCACGGTTTCCTGGGAAGGTGGCACTGGCTGCCCTGGGTGGGATCCTGGCCTGGTCCTCGTAGGCATGGCCGGCTGGGGGAACCATCTGGCAACGAACTCTCTGCCCTGGCCCCTGTCAGAAACAGGCTACTGGGCAAGGGGGACCCTTGGTCTGACCCAGTGGGGCTGTTCGTGTGTTCAGGCGCCACCCACCCAAAGCATCATCTGCCTGGAGGGCAGGGACCAGCCAGGCAAGTGTCTCCCCCGCTGGAATGGGCACCTTGTGGGGGGAGCAGCGCACCATCTCCATGGCCCAGGCTTCTCGGGGTAGGGTGAGGCAAGTTCCTGCTGCTTCCATCCTGGGCCAGCGTCACACGAGGGAGGAGGGACCCCATTAGTGATCCCTGGAGCTGCCCATTCTTCGAGGGGGGTTGCAAGGCAGGGGGTCACCTCCGAAACAGCATCGCCAAAGCCGAGCTCCAGGCCCCTCCCCTTCCCTGTACTGCTCTGCCAGCCCGGGCACCGCTGGTGCAGGACGCTGCCCGCGGCGCTCCCCTGCGATGTCCTGGTGGGGGTGGATCAGCCTCGTTGTCATGGCAGGGGACAGCCACGGCTCCCTCCACCACGGCCCGGCCCAGCTCTTGCATCGGCCTGGAACCTCTGCCCATGGCTGGTGGGTCTGCAAAGGAGCCAGGGCGGAAACAGCCCCCGCTGACGTCTCACCCGCTGTTCCAGCTCAAACCGAGCCGAAGGAGGAGGGAGACGCCGGGAGAGCCGGAGACCCGCTGCAGGGGCTGGGTTTGCACAAGCCGCGCATCAGTAAAGGCCTTAATTCACTGCACGGGTGTTTTTTTCACGGGTTCCATTGGGCCGCGCCCACTGCCGGGCTAGTCCGCTCCTGACCCCTGCCTGCCCCAGCTCTGCTGGTGCCCCTCAATGCCGACCCGCAGCCCCCCTGCTGTTCCACTCCTGATCCCCGCCTGCCCCAGCTCTGCTAGTGCCTCTCAATCCCAACTCGCAGCCCCACTGCTGTTCCACTCCTGAGCAGCTGCCCCCGCCCCAGGTCACTCGCTTTTGCCCATTGGCCCCCCACATGAGCGTGGCCTGCTTGGTTATTTAGCACTTGCTTAGCCCAGGCCTGGCAATCACCCACTACTGAGGGGTGTCAGGGAAGGGGCCTAAACCATAGAAGAAGAAGAAGATTAGGGTTGGAAGAGACCTCAGGAGGTCATCTTGTCCAACGCCCTGCTCAAAGTAGGACCAACACCAACTAAATCATCCCAGCCAGGGCTTTGTCAAGCCTGACCTTAAAAACTTCTAAGGAAGGAGATTCCACCACCTCCCTAGGTAACGCATTCCAGTGCTTCACCACCCTCCTAGGGAACTAGTGTTTCCTAATATCCAATCTAAACCTCCCCGACTGCAACTTGAGACCATTACTCCTCGTTCTGTCATCTGCCACCCCTGAGAACAGCCGAGCTCCACCCTCTTTGGAACCCCCCTTCAGGTAGTTGAAGGCGGCTATCAAATCCCCCCTCATTCTTCTCTTCTGCAGACTAAACAAGCCCAGTTCCCTCAGCCTCTTCTCGTAAGTCATGTGCCCCAGCTCCCTGATAATTTTTGTTGCCCTCCACTGGACTCTCTCTCCAATTTCTCCACATCCTTTCTGTAGTGAGGGGCCCAAAACTGGACGCAATACTCCAGATGTGGCCTCACCAGTGCCGAATAGAGGGGAATAATCACTTCTCTCGATCTGCTGGCAATGCCCCTACTAAACGCAGCCCAATATGCCATTAGCCTTCTTGGCAACAAGGGCACACTGCTGACTCATATCCAGCTTCTCGTCCACGGTAATCCCCAGGTCCTTTTCTGCAGAACTGCTGCTTAGCCAGTCGGTCCCTAGTCTGTAGCTGTGCATGGGATTCTTCCTTCCTAAGCGCAGGACTCTGCACTTGTCCTTGTTGAACCTCATCAGATTTCTTTTGGCCCAGTCCTCCAATTTGTCTAGGTCACTCTGGACCCTATCCCTACCCTCCAGCATATCTACCTCTCCCCCAAGCTTAGTGTCATCTGTGAATTTGCTGAGGGTGCAATCCACACCATCCTCCAGATCATTAATAAAGATGTTGAACAAAACCGGCCCCAGGACCGACCCCTGGGGCACTCTGCTTGATACCGGCTGCCAACTAGACATTGAGCCATTGATCACTACCCGCTGAGCCCGACAATCTAGCCAGCTTTCTATCCACCTTATAGTCCATTCATCCAATCCATACTTCTTTAACTTGCTGGCAAGAATACCGTGGGAGACCGTATCAAAAGCTTTGCTAAAGTCAAGATAAAGTCAACGACCCCCCCAGTCTCTGGGCGTGGGGGGAGGGTCTGGATTCAAACCTAGACCCAGATCCAAACATTGCTACAGGCCCCCAATGAATGGCTGAACCAACCAGCTGGATGTGACCAACCCAGACCTTTGGATCAGGCCCATCTCCAGCCCAGCCCAGGCCTAAGCTGAGCTGGCTGCTGCGTTGCTGGGGGGAAGTGCTGGACAGCAGCGCAGGGCCCAAGCCCCGATCCCAGGGCAGGTGCCACCGGGGCCAGGTTGTGGGAAGTGCATCCCAGGGCTCTCCGTGGCCCAGGATTAGCAGGAAGGAGCCAGGGGTCCTGGGGGAGCGGGTGCCGTGTTACTGGCTGACGGGAGGGGCTGTCTCCGGCAGGGACAAACCCCAGGCACGCAGTGGAGCTCCCCCGTTCCCAGCGTCTGGGCCAAGGGGTGCTGTGACTTTGCTCTGCTGGCAGGCCCGGGCCCTGCTGCAGATTGCGGAGCGCCCTCTCCGTCCTGGGGCAGCAGAACCGGGGCTGGAGGCTGGGGCTGGTGACAGCCCTGGGCTCGGGCCAGGGTGCTGGCAAAAGAATCAAAGACAGGCCCTCTCGTGTTCTGCAAAAGAGGAGGCTCTGGGGGCCCAGGCCAGGAACAGCCCTGCCCCCAGCCCTGCTGCAGAGCAGAGTGTAAGGTGGGGAGAGCATCAGATGTAAACACAAGGGCCAGACTCACGTGCTGGAGTAAATCAGGGTGTCTCCTTGCTGCCAGTGCGGTTACATTGGTGTAAGCAACGGGAGTCTGGCCCCAGCAAGCAACTGAGCTGAGGGGCCACTCCTGGCCACTGCGGCCTCCCTCTCCGGCACTGGAACCGGGGAGGAGGTACCTCACAGCCCAGCCCCCCACAGAGCCCAGCAAGCCCACCCTGGTTCCCACCTGGGTCCTGCAGGGAGAAAGGCCTGGCTGGGGCAGGGCAGTTGACAGGCCAAAGTCAACGCAAAGAGAAGGCCCTTGCCAGCCCTGAGCCAGCCCCGCGGTGTCGCCAACTCCACAAAGCAGGAAGTCACCAGATAAACCCTGAAAAGTGGCTAGATGCAGCTGTTTAAGCACTCAGAAGGAGTCCAAAATGTCACCGAACAAAATTTCCAGAGATTTCAGCAGAGAATTATACACCCCCCCCACACCCTCCCACACACAGGTGAGTTACACATGCACACACACACACACACACAGGCGAGTATAGTCACCAAATCATTCACAAGTGGCTCAATAGTGTTAATAAAATCCATTCCATGCTCTTCTTACTACATTCTCTTGCACACCAGAAGCAACTACACCAGGACGCTGTCATCATCAGGAGGGCGCCCTCTGCGTGTTGGGCAGAGCGCTCTGTCCAGGGCAGCCCAGTACAGCTGGGGTTGGGTCATTTCAGCTCAGCTTCCCTTTCTTGCCAGCCTGGATTTGAGCCGACTGGTGAGTGAAAGGGGGAGCCCGGAGCTGGGAGGGGAAGAGGGCATCCACCTGACCTGAGCTCGGAGCTGCAGGGAGCCAAGAAAGCAGATTTAAAAACAAAAATCCACTAGCCGGACCCCTTCCCCCCACTTCCAGGGTTTCATTTCTGAAAAGAGCTGGGCAGGTAACCCCAGGCCAAGCCGGGGGAAGGAGTAAAGGGGAACCGAAATCAAGCTAGCTCCACCTTTGATCCTGCAGTAAGGGCTTCATCCCCGGAGGCCTGGTGCCCCCCGCCCCATTGGGGCACATGGCCCTGTCTCATCCCACCTTCCATCCGTGCGGCTGTCCTTGCTGGCTAACCTGCCTCCCCGGCCCAACCCGCTTCATTAGCCGTCTTCCCCTGCATCACAGGCTGGGCTACCTATGACTGAGCAGCGAGAACGAACATCTGGGTAAAAACAAGCCCTGGCTAAGGTGCTGCTCTCTCCAACGTGCACCTGGATTTAGCAACGTATTTAATTAGCCTCCACAAACTTCTTTCCCTCGCCGGCAGGTTATCGTGATCTCAGCCCAAGCAGCCCTGGAAGACGATTCCTTCCGAGGCCGTGCTCAGCTGGGACGTAATGACACTGACTTGGGGTGCAGCAGAACGTAGTAAGAAGAGCACGGAGTGGATTTTATGAACACTATTGAGTGGCTTGTGAATGATTTGGTGACTACGCCTGTTGGTGACGTCTTTCTCTGAATGCCACTGTCATTGGCAGCGAAAGTAGCTAGATTTGTCACTGGTCACTTGGACACTTATTTGCTCGCTAGGGAACCAAAAAGTCACTAAATCTGGTGACAAAGTGGCTAAGTTGGCAACACGGCTGGCGGCACCTGTGAGCTCCGCGCCCTCCTGGGACCATGCCCACCGCAGCCTGCAGCATGAGCCTAAGGCAAGGGGCGAGACCCAGAGGAGCCCAGGAGGCTGGGAAAGCCCTCGTTCGGATGGGGCGGTCAGCCAGAGGCCAGGCTAGCGCTGGGGAGGCTGGGGAGCATTGACCGAGCCCCGGTGCAGCACGCTACAGAGTGGCCTGGCCTATCCCCTCCCTAGCGGAGGCAGCCAGTCCCGGAGATCCCACCTGGGGGTCCATGTCCAGATCCCTGGTGCGCACTCACACAAGGGAGGGATCTCTGCTCCCCGGCTCCATTCTCACACTCAGCCATCTCCAACCTCCTCCCCTGGGCAATTCTGCTGGGACAGACGGCAGCATGAGCCATGGGGTATCCCCATCACCCTCGGCCCCTCTCCTGTCCCTTCTCCCACGGATCTCTGAGGGCTTCGCAGCCCCATGCTCCGCGAACCACCACAAGCCGGGTGGAGACACCAGGGGCTCAGCCCACCCCTGAAGTGGACCCATGCGCAGGAGGCAGAGCAATTCATGCAGGCAGCTGGGACAGGACAGAGCTGGGATTGAGGCCAGCCTCCAGGGCTAATCCCCCAGGGACTCGGGGCCTCCTGTTTGCAGACTGGCCCTAAGGGAAGGCCTCCACCAGCTCCCTTCCCAAGCTTACAAACTGGGAATGGACTCATGCTGGGAGTTCTCCCCACGTCCCGCCCTTGCTCCCGGTTAGGATGGTAAATAGCCCCCACCTGGGGAAGCCAAGGAACCCCCCCAGCACAGCCCTCATTGCCCTGCTGCCATCTGCTCCATTGGGTGCCAACCGAGGGCAGCCTTTGGGAGCCCACGCTTGCTGCCCTTGGCTGATGAGGCCCTGGCGCTCTGCCCCTTTAAGGAGCTGCTAACTAGGGAGTCCTGGAGGTTATTTATTTGCAGGTGGGAGCAGCTGTACCTTCTTGCTCTCCCTGTCTGGGGGGATCCTACAGGTAAGAGGCTGCTTTAGCTCTGGGAGCTGTGGCCTTGGCCAGGAGCTATTGCCAAGGGCAGTGTGATGCGCCCAGGGCTGAGCAGGTGGGCAGTGGTATGGCCCTTGCACTGAATCTCCCTGGCCATGGGTGGGAGGGGCCCAGCTGGCCTATCGGGCCTGCCCAGCCCAGCCCAGAGCAGAGTTCACCCTTTGGGTGCTTTGCCCCCGTTTTAGCTGTTTGGCTGGTCCTGATCCCAGAGCACTGCAGGGCTTCCCTGCTCTCTAGGCTAGACGCTGGGCTGTGGGCTAAGCACAGACAAGTGGCTAGAGTTGCAGAGGGAGCCTGAGCTGAGCCCTGGGCTAGCAGCCTCGGAGCCAGGGCACCGATGGAGCTGGGGGTTGCTGAGGCCACCCTGGCCCTCCCAGTGCCACCCAGGGACCTGCCCGGCGAGACACAGCCCAGCTTTTGTGTCTGGCGTTCAGGGTGCGGTGCCGGGTGGCCCAGTGAGCACGGCAGGAGGGCACTTAAACCCTTTGGTGTTCCTGGGGGCCTTTCCTGGTGCCCAGCTGCTGAGAGAGGCCAGCCCCCGAAGTGGGAGCAAGCCACCCGGCCAGGACTGAGCCCCCTTCTCCTCTGTCTGCCAGGCATCTCATCGCCCCCATGGATTTCTTCTGCCGGAAGCGAGCGCGCTCAGACTCGCCGCCCAGGGCAGTGGTGCCGGTCAAGAGGCATGGCTCCTGCCCGGTGGCCCAGAGACCCCAGCCGGCCAGGCCGGAGAGCCGCCCGGAGCTTGGCCCCTTCTTGGCCAGCCTCTTCCGCCCCAGGAGTGCCCAGAAGGGCCTTTCCGCAGCTCGCAGGGGGCGGTCCCGGGATCCAGGCTCAGCAGCGGAGGAGAGGGTCCCGCTTCTGGTGGACAACTCCGAAGGTCTGTGTGCCTGTCTGCCATGGGTGTTCTCCTCCCCCCACCCCAGGTAAACGTGTGGGGAGTGCCCTGAAGGTGGTGAGTTTCAGTTCCCATAACTGGGACCAGGCAGAGTCCTGGGCCTGACTCCTGCTAACTCTAGAAATTCATCTCAGGCCTGACCCAGAGCACCCGCTCTTCCAGCCCTGCCCCCCAGCTCTGCCAGGGCCCCTCAGTCCTGATCTGCAGCCCCCCAGCTCTGCCAGGGCCCCTTAGTCCTGACCTGCAGCCCCCTGCCGTTGCAGGTGAGTGCTCTCCCGTTATCCAGGTGACGGTAGGTGGCGTCAGGCAAGTTCTCCAGCTAGCCCTGCTGGCGTAGGGCAGGCAGCTCCCTGGGGGTGATGGGGAGCAGAGGCGGGCTCGGGTTTTGTTTTGACGCCGTGGCTCTGGTACAGCCCAGTGCTAGCTGACCCCTCTGCTCTGCCCCTGCACCATCCTCATCCCCTCGCTCCTGCTCTCCCTAGGGGCTGACCTGCCAGGCAGCGCTGTCCCTGTCCCGCTCCGCTGCCAGCCCTCTCCTCCCACAGCAGAGCTGGCAGCCCTCAAGAGCACGGGCCCAGAGGAGCAGGTGGAGGAGCCCCCTAGCTCTGCAGGGCCAACGGGCCCCGCTGGCCTGCTGGAAATGAGGACAAAGCAGCCCACCCCAATCCCCGGGAGGAAGGTCCTGCATGGCTCCCTGGAAGATCTCTCCAAAGCCACAGCTATGCAGATGCCAAGTCCGGAGCGCAGGTAACCCACCTCCCCCCGGGGAGCTCTCCGTATCACTGCCCTGGGGCTGGGAGATTGTCTCTTAGTTAAAAAGAAAAGGAGGACTTGTGGCACCTTAGAGACTAACCAATTTATTTGAGCATGAGCTTTCGTGAGCTACAGCTCGCTCATGCTCAAATAAATTGGTTAGTCTCTAAGGTGCCACAAGTCCTCCTTTTCTTTTTGCGAATACAGACTAACACGGCTGTTCCTCTGAAACCTGTCTCTTAGTTGCGATGTAGCTTGTGCCTAGAGAGGGATTCTTGCTTCCTTTTTCTTTAAGCTACTGGCATGTCCATGGAAATATCCAGTAATCATTCCAGGTGGGGTGCAGGAGCTGAATGGGAGGGGACCCAGCGCTGCCCTCTAGTTCCCACCACAAAACAAGCTCTGCCCATGAAGTGCCAGTCTTTGGGCAAATCTTTGTAATGTGATTGCATTTCTAAATTCTCTGGTGCTTTGAGCATTGATATGGTATGTGCCATCTTTAGGTTTCAGAGAGAACAACCCCTTGGATTAAGCAGAGGGCTGTGTCACGGAGTGTGGGGGAGTCCAGGCCCTGCACCCCTCTTCCTGGGATTCACTGAGACTCTCAGCCAACCAGTAAAACAGAAGGTTTATTGGACAACAGGAACACAGTCCAAAACAGAGCTTGTGGGTACACCCAGGACCCCTCAGTCAAGTCCTTCTGGGGGAGCAGGGAGCTTAGACCCCAGCCCTGGGGTTCCCTGCGTTCCTCCACCCAGCCCCAAACTGAAACTAAACTCACCCAGCAGGTTCCCTGCTGCAGCCTCCGTGGTCCACATTCCCCGGCAGAGGTGTTACCTCCCCATCCCCCTCCTGGCTCAGGTTACAGGCTCTCAGGTCTCCCATCCCCAGGGCACATTCCCAGGTCAACACTCCCCCCTCCCTGCTGCGTCACATCGTCACAGGCTGTTCCTGTCTGGTCTCCCATAACTGTGGTCCCAGGCTGCCTCCTGGCTTAGTGTGTTTTACCCCCCTCAGTTCCCATTTTTATAGTTATCGTTGGAGCCAACGGGCTAGCAGCTTCATTTGGGTTGAAACAAAAGATCTTCGAGCGCAAGATGGCAGCGACCAGAAAATGGCCTGGCTCTCTGAGCCTCTGCAGATTGGTTCAATTCAACCCCTGCCCAGATCCTTACACTTCCTGACCCTGAAGCTGGCCTTTCCAGCTGCCACCTATTGTTATAATGGATGATCCAAACATCTGGAACTTTGGGGACATTTGGAGCAGAGCTGGGTTTTATAATTCAGGCTTGGCTCTGACGATCACCTTATTTCTCTGGTACCTTTCAGAGCGGAAGGATAGCCCAGTGGGTAGGGCACAAGCCTAGTACTGGGGAAAGCTGGATTCAAAGTCCTGTTTTGCCACAGGTTTCCTGTGTGACCTTGGGCGAGTCACGTGGCTTCTCTGGGCCTCAGTTTCCCATCTATAAAATGGCCATAAGAGCACCTTCCTTCCTCACAGGGGTATTGTGAGGATCAGTACAATACAAAGATTGAGGCATGGTCTTACACACCATGTGTGGGAGATAATTAAGACTGTTGTGACGTTCCCCTCTGGTGTTATCCAGACCGGTGATCTGTGAGGTCACTCCAGTCCTTGACTCTGGGAGCCAGACTTACCCTGCTCTGCTGTGAGAACCCCCACTCCTGGGCTGTTCACGCACAGCCTCGGGCATGTAAGCTGCTCCTTGGATTGTGCAACCGAATGACACTAGCCAATATCTCCGGTCCCAGACACAACCCTAGGAACCTCCTTCTTGCAGTGTCCAGTTATGCCCGCTGGATGCTGCAAGCTTATATGAGTTCATCAGTTTAACAAAGAAATTGATATGTACCAGGCTTGTTATCCCAAGGGGAGTCTCTGACATGCTTTAAACCAAATGCACTGCATCAGGTAGAATAAAAAAAATTATTAACTACAAAGAGAGATTTTAAGTGATTAGAAGTCAAAGCATAACCAGTCAGATTTGGTCAAATGAAATAAAAGCAAAATGCATTCTAAGCCGATCTTAACACTTTTAATGACCTTACAAACTTAGATGCTTCTCACCATGGGCTGGCTGGTTGCCCTTCAGCCAGGCTCTCCCCTTTGATCAGCGCTTCAGTCACTTGGTGGTGGTGTCTGTAGATGGAAGTGGAAGAGACAGGAAGAGTATGGCAAACGTCTCTCCCTTTTATCATGTTCTTTCTTCCCTCTTGGCTTTGCGCCTCCTTCCCCCGCCCTTCAGAGTCAGGCGAGCATTACCTCATCACAGTCCCAAACTGACCAAAGGAAGGGGAGTGACTCACTCAAGAGTCTAACAGGTCCTTTTGTTGTTGCCTAGGCCAGTGTCCTTTGTTCCTGTGAGGCTTGCCTGGGTTTGTCCCATACATGCCCTGATGATGTGTGAACTGCCACTCCGCTCTTGGAGAGTTTTTGTCTGTGCTTGCTTTAAGCCATGAGGACACATTCTCAGCCTCATAACTATATACATGAAATTACAACCTATAACAACGATTACTATAACAATGCTCAGTATGTCAAGAGCCTTCCGTAGACACCCGACATGACAAACTTTGCACTAGATACCACAGAATCATATGATAAGGATGAACATGGGGTTACTGGGTGTTCCCCTGAGGTACAGAACATAACTGTATATCACCCAGTGTGCAGTTAGACTGTGGAACTCTCTGCCTCATGATGTCGTTGACTCCAGAATTTGGCAAGATCCAAAAATGGATTGAATGCTAATATGGATAATGAGAATACCCAGAGTTTCCATGCTTTATGGTAACAGTTCTGGGGGGGATGTCAACCCCCCACTTCAGAGTTTTAAACCAATCTCTATCTCTAAGAAATCAAGAAGAGACCTGATCTGAGGACCAGATTATTCCACACTGCTACTGTGGGTTCTCTCACCTTCTCTGGCCACTGTCAGAGACAGAACACTGGGCTAAGTGGACCTTAGTTCTGATCCACCTGGCATATTCCTACCTATCCATTTAACACCTGTGTACATTGAGGCACAGAGGTTTTGATTTGCACAAGGACACAAATAAGTGACAAAGCCCAGCAGGAGGCACTGTAGGGCATGAGGAAAGAGCCAGAGTTATGGGGGAAAGTTCATGTTTGCTGTAGTATAGGGCTCTCCCGGTGGGACTCAGTTCAGAAGCTTCTTCTCGCTGCCTTTTAGACTGTTCCGCCGACCACTGGGGAAAGGAGCAAAGGACACGGACAAGCGGAGGAGGGAATCTAAATATGTGCAAACCCGTGAGTACTGACCTGCTCCTTGTGCGATGGCTGTAGGGTCTCAGGCATGGCGGGATGGAGGGAAATTCCTAGAAGAGCTTCTGGAGGCTGCTGCCGTGAACAAGCCCTTACATGGGCCACAGAGTGCTACTTCCACCACCTTGGCCCTAGCCAGGAAAGGGAAACTGAGTCACTAAACATTATAAGCCTGTTCCGGAGCAGGCTGTGCCTTTAAGAGCCTACTGAATTGAGCTGTTGCAAAACTGTGTCTTTGTCCGCTGTGTGTTGGGCCTCAAATGTCTAAGACCTCTCCTGGCCTGCAGAGGGGAAGCCCACACCCTGTTCTCTCTCCTGGGGACTCTGCTCTTGTTCTTTCTAGTCTGGTTGTTTCCCTTAAGGTAAAATAAGCTACACGTTGGAGTTAGACACATCACACTGAAATTGGAGCCACGAGACGCTTTTACACAGCTCTCTCTGCACTAAATTCACTCTGAAGAGAGCAATCTTTTCCTTGCATGCAGATTGCTTAATGACCTCCTGCAATTGTGGCAGTGGGGGGAGAAATGCTAGAACCACAGGGTTAGAAGGGACCGCAAGGGTCAGCTAGTCTAAACACTGACTAGATGCAGGGTTTCTTGTGTCTAAACCATGAGACAACACACACACACCTGCAATCTGGTCAGGACTGTTTTGAATTTGCTGAGGGCATCTCCAAGACCCAAGGTGATGGTTGGAACAGAGATGGCTGCTCCTTAGAGATCCTTCAGTTCTCCATCCATTAACGGTGAAGGCAGCATGCCGTGACTTCTGTCTGAGTGGGCTATGGGCACACATTGGTGAACTGTGCTCATGGGGACACTGCTGGGGCCCAGAAATGGCGAAGACCACCCCGAAGTCCAGGAGAGGGTTTCCCAGTGTCCAGGGCCATGTGTGGAGCAGGCGGGCCGTGTCACTAGACCTGGGATTATATGAATCGTTCAAAGACTGAAAAAAGAAAAGGAGTACTTGTGGAACCTTAGAGACTAACCAATTTATTTGAGCATGAGCTTTCGTGAGCTACAGCTCACTGCAATTATTCATGAAGCACTCTGGGAAGCCCTTGGCTGACCGTTGACGGGCAGGTTCCTGTGGCTAATGTTACGCTCATTGCGCTCCTTCCCAGAGCCTCTCTACCAAGACTACTGGATGAAGCGCCTCAAGGCAGTGGAGCGCAAGCCCAAGGACCCATCTTTCCGGGTGGACGCCAGCCTATCCATCGCTGGCATCCTCTCCTCCTCCCTGCTCGGCGCAGCGTCGCAGATCTCTTCCCGCGACTACAGCTCCTGCTTCTGGCAGGAGATCCCAGAGGTGAAGAGCGGGCGGCTCCTGGAGAGTCTCACACCCCAGCAGCACCACCTGCAGGAGGTATTGGAGGGCAGCCGCCTCTCGGACTGGGAGGGAGGGGCTGATCATTTGATTGCACGGCTGGCTGGCAAGTAGGGGTGGGATGTTCCCACCCGCCAGAGGCAGGTTCAGCCCAAGCGAAAGCTGCTCCAGCTGAGGAGCCCCCCCACGTGGCGAGGGGAGGGACAATGTTCTGCAGAGACCTGCCATCTGCTGCAGCCACAGTTTGATCACTCTGGGGCCCCTGCTGCGGTGTGGGGATGGTACCACAGAGCGGGCAGTGCTGGAGAGCAGGATGCCCCCTACCCCCAGAGCCAGCAGTTCCAGTCCCTGCCCTGGTGAAAGCAGAAGGAGACTGTGGGGTAGTGCTGAGACTGGGCAGTGCCACCGTGCGGGTTAACCTCAGACAAAACCTTGCTCACTGGGGGCGGGGGGGGGGTCAACCAGTAACTGGCAACCTTGAAAATGGGGACCAGGAGACCGATGCTCTCTATCAGCCTCGAGGACAGCAGCTGGGCCTGTGGCTTGCTCTGGGATGCGCAGCTTCCTGTGGTCTCCAGCGCTGGCAGCATGGCACCCACCCTGCTCTCCTACTCCAAAGAGGGCATTTGCCCCACCTCTGCCCCCAGTACCCTGGGGGGTTCCAGGTGCTGTTGATCTAATAGAAATAGACGCACCATTGGAGAGCCTGGATTTCTGTGTTTTCCCAGCAGGGCTGGTTGTTGATGCCTGGTCTCCTAGCACACCGTGCCAGCCTCGCCAGAAGGCCAAGATTATAACAGGGTTCAAAAAGGAACTAGATAAATTCATGCAGGACAGGTCCATCAATGGCTGTTAGCAGGGATGGGGTCCCTAGCCTCTGTTTGCCAGCAGCGCCAGTTCTCCTGTCTGCAGCGTGCAGGAGAAAGGGGGCGGGTGAGGGGCCTCGAGGCCAGAACCACCCCGGCAGAATGGCCCTGAATTTTCTCGCTCACTGGGCTACAGCTGAGCCGGGGTGGTTCTGGCCTTGAGGCTCCTCACCCGCCCCCTTTCTCCTGCACGCTGCAGACGGGAGAACTGGCGCTGCTGGCAAACAGAGGCTAGGGACCCCATCCCTGCTAACAGCCATTGATGGACCTGTCCTGCATGAATTTATCTAGTTCCTTTTTGAACCCTGTTATAATCTTGGCCTTCTGGTGAGGGTGGCATGGTGTGGGAATGGGCGACAGGAGATGGGTCACTTGATGATGACCTGTTCTGTTCATGCCCTCTGGGGCACCTGGCATTGGCCACTGTTGGAAGACCAGATACTGGGCTAGATGGACCTTTGGTCTGACCCTCTATCACCGTTCCCATGTTCTCATGTTTGTGTCAGTTGATGAAGCCGCAGACCTGGAAGCTGGATTGTATTCCCGGCTCTGCCCTGTGCCCAGCCCTGTACCGGTGCCCAGTAGGGATGCCAACTTTGGTTGGATGTATTCCTGGAGATTTCATCACATGACAGTCTTTCATGAAAGACTAATCTTTAATTCCTGGAGACTCCAGGACAATCCTGGAGGCTGGCAACCCTACAGCGGCCAGAAGGCAATGCCCCTTGCCTGTCTGGCTGCCGCTCCCAGCAGGAGTCCTCAGAGCAAGAGGCCTGTAATGGAAGGGAAGTGTTTCCTGTAGGCGGACCGGGGAAGGGGCATGGCTAAGGCATTCCTCTATGCCAGCCCACTCTGGCTGTGGGAACAGCCCACAGGGCTGGCACAAAGCTGCTCAGGCAGCTGTGCCCCTTCCCTGGTGGCTGTGCACTGGCTCGTCTTGGGTACTCGCATTTGCAAAGTGATTTAGATGCCTGGTTCCCGGTGATTTCAGGGAGGCACCTAAGTCCCTTGAACCCGCAGGCCCAGAGCCCCTTGGCTTCGGGCACTAGAGGGGAACAGCGTGTTGCACCGTTTGGAGGGTTCCCAGGCCCTGCCGCGCTGCCTCACTCTCCCCCGTCTTTTGACGCACGGTCTCCGCTCCAGGCCATGTTTGAGATGATCACATCGGAGGCCTCCTACCTGTGCAGCCTCTCGGTGGCCATGAGCCACTTCAAGGGATCGCTGGCGCTGCGGGAGACGCTGACCAGGGCCGAGGTGCACCGGCTCTTCTCCAACCTGCAGCAGGTGAAGGACATCAGTGAAAGGTAACTGCGGTGGGTGAGGAACACCCAGTGATGCCAGTCCCAGCCTCACCCAGCAGGGGGCGCTGTAGGGAGGGGGCAGAGGTGCTGGCTGCGGAGGGAGCTCCCAGCTACTCCAGCCCAAACCTTGCCCAGTGGCAGGATCCTTTCCCTCTACTCCTATCATAGAATCATAGAATATAAGGGTTGGAAGGGACCCCAGAAGGTCATCTAGTCCAACCCCCTGCTCAAAGCAGGACCAATTCCCAGTTAAATCATCCCAGCCAGGGCTTTGTCAAGCCTGACCTTAAAAACCTCTAAGGAAGGAAATTCTACCACCTCCCTAGGTAACGCATTCCAGTGTTTCACCACCCTCATAGTGAAAAAGTTTTTCCTAATATCCAATCTAAACCTCCCCCACTGTAACTTGAGACCATTACTCCTCGTTCTGTCATCTGATACCATTGAGAACAGTCTAGAGCCATCCTCTTTGGAACCCCCTTTCAGGTAGTTGAAAACAGCTATCAAATCCCCCCTCATTCTTCTCTTCTGCAGGCTAAACAATCCCAGCTCCCTCAGCCTCTCCTCATAACTCATATGTTCCAGACCCCTAATCATTTTTGTTGCCCTTCGCTGGACTCTCTCCAATTTATCCACATCCTTCTTGAAGTGTGGGGCCCAAAACTGGACACAGTACTCCAGATGAGGCCTCACCAATGTCGAATAGAGGGGAACGATCACGTCCCTCGATCTGCTCGCTATGCCCCTACTTATACATCCCAAAATGCCATTGGCCTTCTTGGCAACAAGGGCACACTGCTGACTCATATCCAGCTTCTCGTCCACTGTCACCCCTAGGTCCTTTTCCGCAGAACTGCTGCCTAGCCATTCGGTCCCTAGTCTGTAGCTGTGCATTGGGTTCTTCCGTCCTAAGTGCAGGACCCTGCACTTATCCTTATTGAACCTCATCAGATTTCTTTTGGCCCAATCCTCCAATTTGTCTAGGTCCCTCTGTATCCTATCCCTCCCCTCCAGCGTATCTACCACTCCTCCCAGTTTAGTATCATCCGCAAATTTGCTGAGAGTGCAATCCACACCATCCTCCAGATCATTTATGAAGATATTGAACAAAACCGGCCCCAGGACCGACCCTTGGGGCACACCACTTGATACCGGCTGCCAACTAGACATGGAGCCATTGATCACTACCCGTTGAGCCCGACAATCTAGCCAGCTTTCTACCCACCTTGTAGTGCATTCATCCAGCCCATACTTCCTTAACTTGCTGACAAGAATACTGTGGGAGACCGTGTCAAAAGCTTTGCTAAAGTCAAGAAACAATACATCCACTGCTTTCCCTTCATCCACAGAACCAGTAATCTCATCATAGAAGGCGATTAGATTAGTCAGGCATGACCTTCCCTTGGTGAATCCATGCTGGCTGTTCCTGATCACTTTCCTCTCATGCAAGTGCTTCAGGATTGATTCTTTGAGGACCTGCTCCATGATTTTTCCAGGGACTGAAGTGAGGCTGACTGGCCTGTAGTTCCCAGGATCCTCCTTCTTCCCTTTTTTAAAGATTGGCACTACATTAGCCTTTTTCCAGTCATCCGGGACTTCCCCAGTTCGCCACGAGTTTTCAAAGATAATGGCCAATGGCTCTGCAATCACAGCCGCCAGTTCCTTCAGCACTCTCGGATGCAACTCGTCCGGCCCCATGGACTTGTGCACGTCCAGCTTTTCTAAAAAGTCCCTAACCACCTCTATCTCCACAGAGGGCTGGCCATCTCTTCCCCATTTTGTGATGCCCAGCGTAGCAGTCTGGGAGCTGACCTTGTTAGTGAAAACAGAGGCAAAAAAAGCATTGAGTACATTAGCTTTTTCCACATCCTCTGTCACTAGTTTGCCTCCCTCATTCAGTAAGGGGCCCACACATTCCTTGGCTTTCTTCTTGTTGCCAACATACCTGAAGAAACCCTTCTTGTTACTCTTGACATCTCTGGCTAGCTGCAGCTCCAGGTGCGATTTGGCCCTCCTGATAACATTCCTACATGCCCTAGCAATATTTTTATACTCTTCCCTGGTCATATGTCCAACCTTCCACTTCTTGTAAGCTTCTTTTTTATGTTTAAGATCCGCTAAGATTTCACCATTAAGCCAAGCTGGTCGCCTGCCATATTTACTATTCTTTCGACTCATCGGGATGGTTTGTCCCTGTAACCTCAACAGGGATTCCTTGAAATACAGCCAGCTCTCCTGGACTCCTTTCCCCTTCAAGTTAGTCCCCCAGGGGATCCTGGCCATCCGTTCCCTGAGGGAGTCGAAGTCTGCTTTCCTGAAGTCCAGGGTCCGTATCGTGCTGCTTACCTGATCTCCTGATCTCCGCAGGTTTCTCCTGGATCTCAAGGAGCACATGGACAAGGACGTCTTCCTGGCGGGGCTGGGGACCGTGGTCCTGAAGCACTGCCCCGCCTTCCACAGGGTCTACATTCCCTACGTCACCAACCAGATGTACCAGGAACAGCTCATGCAGCAGCTGATGTGAGGAGCCGCAGCGGCTCAGGGGGTGTCCTGGGGGGAGGAATAACCGGGGGCTGCTTGTGCCCCAATTGCTCCTCCCCACTGTCTGTGCCCCTTGGAGCAGCCCATCTGCCCCTTCCTAGATGGCTCCTCTCTCAATGGGGACACTGAGGCTTCATGCTAGTGAAACTTTCATGCCAGTGAGAGCTGAGAGTCTGCAGGGCGTCCTCCAGAGGATGCTTGGGCTGTTTGGAACTAGACTGGGCACCGCCCAGGGGAGTGGACTGTAGGGGACACCCCAGTAATGTCCCTTGGGGAGGATTCCATAACTCACTAGGTCTCTGTCCTCTCCGACTTCTCCATCGTGGAGAGGGGCCTCTGCTGAAAATGGTCACCAATTGTTATGCTACGTGGTTGTCATTAAGTTCCAGAGTTAACACATTGTTTTGATGCCTGAGGGCGGCTGACCCCATTCCCCTGCTTGCTCACCTATTTGGGAAGGGAGGAACACCCCCCCCCCCACACACACATGTTCTCTTTGGGGCTGGAATGGCTAGCAGCTTGCTGGCTTCTGGCCTAGGGGGTGCACAAGGGGTTCATGGGGAGCAGTAGGTCAGGTCCCTCCTGGCCTCAGGCAGGAGAGGTGAGCTGGGGCAGGAATTGATACGGGTCTGCATTTCAGTTTTGTACCTTCCCAGCTTGGCGGAGGATATCCTTCCACCCTCCCACCCCATGCCCCAGAGAAATAGCCCCACACATGCCCTCCCACACCCCATTGCTCTGGGAACCCCAGCATCAGGCCTTGCCCACACTCAACCTCTGGCTTTAGTGCAGACACAGCTGGGCTCGTCCAGCCAGGGTCTCTGGGCAGGGTTTGCCCTGGCGCCTGTAGCCCGGTGAGCGAGAGAATTCAGGGCCACTCTGTAGGGGTGGTTCTGGCCTCGGGGCCCCTCACCTGCCCCCTTTCTCCTGCACGCTGCAGACGGGAGAACTGGCGCTTCCGGCAGGTCCTGAGGAAGCTGGAGGAGCAGCCGGTGTGCCAGCGGCAGCCCCTGAAATCCTTCCTGGTGCTGCCCTTCCAGAGGATCACCCGCCTGAAGATCCTGCTGGAGGTGAGAGGCTGGAGCAAGAATCCGTCTCTGGGATCTCACTTGGGGTGGGGGGAGGGGGTTGGCTGGGGCTGGCCTCCCAGGGATCCTGCCTCAGAGGGGCACAGGCTGCCCCGGCCAGCGTCCGCTGAGCTGCAGCCAAAGCAAAACACTGGGGTGACTGAGGTGGCTTTGTGCAAGAAGAGAGGGATAGGGACGGGCGGGGAGAGGGGAAGGCTCTGTCTGGGTATGGGGGCTGGGAAGGAGGGGGAAAAGGTCTGTAGGGAGATGATGGGGGGGTAGGAGGGAGGGGGTAGGGTCTGTAGGGAGATGGGGTAGGGTCTGTAGGCAGATGGGGGAAGGGGTTGGGAGGCAGGTGGGATGGGAGCGGGAGGGAGGGGGAAGGATCTGTAGGGAGATGATGGGGCAGGATGGAGACCCTCTCCCCTGACAGATCCTCCTGCTCTCCCCTCTGCCCCACAGAACATCCTGAAGCTGGCTCCGGCAGACTCCGAGCTGGCCAGTTCCACCAGCGCGGCCCTGGCGGCAGTGGGAGAGGTAAGGGCACCATTGGGTGCTTGTGGGAGGCAGCCGCAGGCTGGCTGTGCAGGTCCCCGCGTGGTAGCAGCCCTCACGCTGCCTGCCTTGACCCGCCGTTCACTCCCCAGCGGCCCTGCGAGGCAGCATGTGGAGATGGGCTATGCTCTGGGGTTCGGGGGCTTGGTCCTCGGCTCCCTGGCGGAGCTGGGGGAAGTGGTTGGAGAAGGTTCTGGTCTGTCTGTTCCTGGTTCTCTGCTCATCCCAGCCCGCGCTGGTCTCCGCTCACTCTGCCCGGGGCGGACTCAGCCCCCCCACTGCTTCCTGCATGGGCCGTGTCCTGCTGGCCTCTGCGCGCAGGGCAGCTCCGGTCACTCAGTGACCGGCTGCCTTTTGTGCTTTGAAAACCCCTGGCATTGGGGGTCTCTCTCTCGGCCTCTCCCCCGTCCCTGGTCAGACCTGAGCTTGCTGAGCTGTCTGGCCAGCGTGCCGTGCGGCCTTCCTGGGACATTACTCGGGGCCTCCGCTCCTCCTGGGGAGTGATTGTGCTTGTGGGGTTTTAGGGCTCCAGCCTGGTTTCCTTCCCCAAGGGAGGCCAAAATGCAGAACGTCCAGGGTCTCGCGTTCCCAGGCTCTGGGGAGCCCAAAAGGTGACTGCAAGGGGGGGATAAAACAGGCTTTGGCCATTTTATGCGGCTGGGAACGCCTGGAAGGTGTTTTTAAATAGGGGTTTTTCCTGCTTGTTTGCTAGTGTGGTAATAGCCCATCTTCTCTTCCCTGACTTCCCCCGAGGTCTCCAGCGAGGGGGTGGGAGGGAACTAGAGCTTCCTCCTCTATTCACTGCGGGCACAGGTTGAATCTTTAACAAGTGCTTTTCTGCCAACTGTTTCTCTGGTCTTGGAGTTAATCATGTTAACAAACAGCCCAGGTTTTAAAAACAAAAATCCCTTCCCGCCTGAATGAATCAGCCTTCATTTCCTTGTCCTCCGACTCGCGCCGGTTCTCCCTGGCGTCTTCCCCAGGAGTAACCGGGGAGGCAGGAGTTGGATTTCCTACCTAGAACCCGCAGAAACGCTGTGGTGAAAAGAACCCTCCGTCCCCACTTCAGATGTTCTAGCCGAGGTCTCCTCGCAGGCAGAACATCACTGGTGCAAAGGGCTATGGGGTGCCAGCATCCCAGGAGGTCTCTGCAGGGTGGGACGTCTGAGCCTCTGTCCCTGGCACCCAGGGACCTAATGCGCAGCCTATCCCAAACCTGGCTGGTGGCACCCCAGGGCGAGTGAGAGCTCAGCCCTGATTCTCACCCGGGGCAAAGCCCGGGCACTCGCATGGACCGGGAGGTGCCGTGTGCACCTGACTCTTCAATCTTCGGCGGGAGCTGAGAAATGTCCCATAATCCCCCAGACCAGCAGTGTCCAACGGCTGGAAAAGCTTCCTTCCTGTCCCCTGGGGTGCACCAAGTGTCCTGGATTCCCTGGTCTCTGCCCCCTCCTGTGGGACCAAGGGAGGCAGGGGGTGGGGGGAGCCCTCGCCAGAGCGCCCAGCTCCCCCGCGCTGGGCCTGCAGTTTCCCGTGTCCTTCCTCAGATCGTGTCAGAGTGCAACGAGAACGTGCGACGGATGAAGCAGACGGAGGAGCTGGTGCTGCTGGAGAAGCAAGTCGAGTTTGTAAAGACAAAGGTGAGGCCTGGCTCTGCACTGGGGCGGCTCTTGGTGATCCAGCCCCACAGGGGAGGGTTGGGGTGGCATGTGGTGGGAGGGCTAGACAGATGGGGGGCTGAGGTGAGGTATGGGGGAGCTAGAGGGATGGGACGCTGGAGGGGCTGGGTTGGGACATGGGGGGCTAGAAGGGTGGGATGCCATCATGGGACTTGGGGGGGATGCAGGGGTGGGTGGGGCGGGACATGTAGAGGCTAGAGTGATGCATGTGATCTGGTGAACTGCACAGTGCCATGATCTACCTCTAAGTAGCTGAGTGCCCTGTGGGACCTCCAGCCTCCCAGCCTGGACCTGGGTGTGTTCCAGGCAGTGTCCTGCAGGGATCCAGTAGGGGGCGCTGGTGCATGGCTCAGGCCGGGACTGATCCTGCCCCTTGGGGCAGCGCAGTGATGGTCTCTGCGCAAAGTGATCCGTGTCTTTCTCTCTTCCCCGCCCAGTCCATCCCACTCATCAGCCGGGGCCGCTGGCTGGTCAGGGCAGGGGAGTTCTCCCAGGTCCTCATCCAGGAGGTGGGCGTGGGGTACAAACCCCGCCTGAGCACCAAGCCCATCCACCTGCACCTCCTCAGCGACCTGCTGCTCTTGTCCCGCCGGAGGGAGTAAGTCTGGGTGGCACCCGTGCTCTACCCTCAGCACCCTGGGGGCCCTGCTGCTCTGGCCAGAGGCATCGAAACCTCCCGGGGGTGGGGGTGGGGGTAGGGGTGCATCAATCTGCTATTCCCGTGCCCACTGCCCGCCTGCAGTTCCCCTCCAGTGTCCTGGTGGATCCAGCTGGCAGGGCGAGCCATCGGGGGGTTGCATTGTCTCCAGCCCTGGAAGAAGGAGCAGGCGGTGGGGTGGGGTCCATCGGTGGCAGTGCCCATCTCTCTGTCGAGGAGGGAAAGCTGGAGGTCCCAGGTGGGGATGCCCCGTCTGTGGGTACAGGATCTAATGGCCTGTTGCAGTGAACATTGCCAGGAAGCCAGGAGCTGGGCGTTCGGGGTGGGGCTCCATCGCCCGGCTCCACCCCACGAACGCTGCCCCTCGTACTTTCCCCGCAGCGATGGCAGGTTTTCCGTCAAGGATTATGCCCAGACCTGCCATGTGAGAGCAGAGTTCCTCAGAGCCAAGCCGCTGGGGCTCCCTGACCCAACCTTCCTCCTGTGCCTCTCCCGCAACCACCGTGGGGCCAGCACCGAGTTCATCCTCAAAGCAGCCAGCGAGTGAGTGTGGGGCTCCCGCTCGGGGAGGCTGGTGGGGTGGGAGGTGGGTTCCTTGGCTGGCTGGTGGCCGTGTGGGGCTGCTGCAGACCCAAAGCCATGCTGGCTGCCGGGGGAGCATTGGGCCTGCCAAGCTGGCACCATTGGCAGGAAGGGGGTTTTGAAGGAGATCTGCCAAGCTGTAAGTTGCTAGCAGCTCAACATCCAGGGAGCTTTGTAGCCTGGTTTCTTTGAGTGCCACCTGGGGGACCTTGGCAGAGGCCTTGAGGGGCAGGTGCATGAGCTTGCAGGCCAGTGCATCCAGCTCTGACACACCAAAGGGGCTCTGGAAATGAGGACCCCTCCCCACAAATGTCCTGCTCCCAGCCCCCTCCCATGAGCTCTTGGGGGCCGTGAACTGGTGGGATGTGGCTGGGGGAGGCATGGTGGGGTCTGAGTGGCCCACAGGGGAGGAAGAGGAGGATGGCGCTAGGGAGGGAGACATTAGGAATGCCCAGCCCCTCCATGAACACGCCCCGGCTCACGCTGGGACCTAAGCCTCAAACTGAGGGATAGCTATGCAGCTTTCGGAGTTCCCCTTTTGGAAAGATGCAGCCCCCCCAGGGGTGTGGATTATGGGGGCTTGGCATGTGATCCCTCTTCTGTCTGACCTCTCCTAGGGCCCAGAGGCAGGAGTGGATCTCACTGATAACCAGCCAGGCGTCCCCTCGGCCTGCAGGTGTGATCAAAGCCCTGAGAGATGCCTGCGCTGGTCTCTGACTCACTGGGGCCCACGCCAGCCGGACTCCATGCTTGGCCTTTCCTTTTCCTGTCCCTGGCTGCTCCCCCAGAGGATGACCTCCCGCCTGCTGCACAAGGGGGTCTGCAGCCCCTCGCCTGTTTGGAGCCCTGTCCAGGCCCAGCTGTTCTTCGCAGGCCTGGGAGCTCCGCTTGGGGACCTTGTGCGGGGTGAATGCAGCAGGCTGCGCTGGACTCAGCGGTGGGGCTGGGAAGGGCAGTGCATGGTGTGGCAAGCTGCTCTCTCTGAAAGCCATACGCTCTTAGAAGCTGCGGTTGGGAGCCGATCTCTGAGTGCTGGTGTGTTTCTGGGGGATCTGCCCAAATGGGGTCCCCCGACAGGCCCCAGTGAGGAGGGTAGAGATTCCCAGCTCGCTGCCCAAGTAGCACCGAGCCTTGACTTGCATCCGGCCAGTAGTGTTCTGGGGGGCGAGACCCTTTGCCAAGAAATCCTTTGGAAAACTTCTGGGGTCTGAGCCAGAAGCCTGGCTCCGGCCCTCGACCTGCGGGGGAGCCAGTGGGAAGCACTAGATGGGAGCAAGTCCTCTGGGTTCTAAGCACTTGTGTCTGTCAAGCGAGTTCCTGGCTTCTCCAGGAAATCTCCAGTTCTTGCGTTACATGGGGTCTTTGATCTGACTGGAACAGCCCTTGAGAAGCCAAAAGCTCCCCAGATCTCCCAGCAAAGGGGAGGATGCTGCCCACTGCCTCTTGGGGGGGGGGGAGGGGTGTCCCCTACATGTGCCTATTGCGGAGGACATGATCCTGCGGAGGGCGCTCGGGGGGGAGCTGGTCTCTCATTTGCTATAGCTGCCTGGCAGGATATTTGAGCTTTGGTCTCTGAACGTCCTCTTTCCCATTGGTTTATTTTTGCAAACGGAGCTTGTAGGTTCCCCCGACCCAGGCTCAGTTGGAAGTTTGGGGGGGTGATTCCCACAGAGGCCGTGCTGGCTGGACCAAGCAGTGTCTTGGGTCTTGGTCTGTATGGGGCCATGGCGTGGGTTGGTGCTTTTGGCAATAACCCCGTCTTCCCGGTCTGGATTGACCCAGGGCAGGGGGCCTCTGGAGCAGGCCCACTCCAGAAGCACCAAGACCTGGCGCGTGGGTCCAGCTGTTCACACTCTGGGGTGGTTGATGGGGGATTTTCATTAGCTGTGGTTCTAAATGGGGCTCTGGGGGCCTCGTTCCTCCTGGGAGGAGCAGCTGAGGGTACGAGCCCCCTGTCTGTCTCCTGCTCGGCCTGGGAACTGCTGGCCTTAGTGGGGGCTGGCTTTCCGAGCTGATCTCCCCCCAGCTCTGCTGGGCGTCAGTGACCCTCAGCCCCCGCAGGGCCGGGAAGCAAGAGGTGTCTGTCTGCTTCCCCACACCAGCTGGGCAATTAGCAGATCCTGGGGAATGTTCGTTGGCCCAGCTGGGCAGGAAATGCCTGGCTGGGGAGCTGCAGGGGGCCACTGCTCAGCGATGGAGGGGGAAGGACTGGTGGCTGGGGATGGAAGACTGCAGGAAGCTGGGGTGCTACAACCAGGTGTGGCCAACATCTGTCCCCCTGCAAATCCCCACAAATCACGGCTACAGGGAGGGGCTGATCCGGGCACCACTGACGGAAGAGAAGATGCTTGGTTGGGGCGTGTTAGCTGGGGAGGGGTCTCTATCCAGACCTTGGTACCTGCTGCCCAGCCTCCATTGGAGGGGTTGAGGTCTCAACCCCACAGAGTCCAGCTGTGCTTTGTGTGTGGGGCAGCTCTCCTGAGATCGGTAGGGAGGCCAGGGGCTTAGTCCCTGCTGTGTCTTACCCTGGCATAGGGGAGAGGGCCCAGGGCCCAGCTGGTAGGGGGCGAGCCCTGTGTCTGGGCTCAGTGCAGAGAAGCTGGGGGAGGAGGGCCGGATCTGCTCCTTTCGCTGAGCCACCCCCAGGCCGCAGCTGGGCCCTAGCCACGCACAGTGTCTGAGGGGCTCACGCTTGTCAAAGTGTCTTGTTTTGAAATAAATATTGACCTTGTTTTAAGGACCCGGCCTGCCCTTGTGTCTACAGCAGCATCCTTTGGGGGTGGGGGGAAGAGACCCCCCCCTTAGCCTGCAGGCCGCCAAGCCACGGCGTTTCCAGCAAACTTGATTTAAAACAAGGCACCAAGGGCCAAGCTTTGGCCATGGGCTGGGCTGTGGCTGCTGAATCTCTCCCCCTGCTGGGACCAGCAATGGCATCTGCATGAAAAACGAGATTCTGGCAGGTGGAGGCTTAACCATTCCAACAACTCCCCCCTGGCCTTCCCCAGGGGCTGGCAAGTGACTGAGGCTTTCTCCAGCCGCACATTATCTGCTCCTCCAGGTAAGGACTAAGCTGAGCTTCCAGAACCTAGGGTCTGAGCTTGTCTTCCCCCTTCCTCGTTCCTGCCTCCCCGAATGCCTTGGCTTAGAGGAAGTGCCTTTGTCTTGAGGTTAGAGGGGCTAGGCTGGGACTGGAGATGGGGTCATGTCCGGACTCTGACAAGCCTCTTGGAGCCCTTGGGCAAGTCACTTAGTCGCTCTGGGCCTCACTTTCCCTCAGCTGGAAGTGAAAATCTCCGTGTGGTTAGACTGCAAGCTCCTTGGAGCAGGGACTCTTAAGCCAGGGCATCTCACACTCTGGATGTAGAGTGCCTAGCACAATGGGGCCCCGATCTCGGGTGTGGCCCCAGGGCATCACCCGAATACAATCAATAATTGGTTATAAAGAACTAGGGGCCTGAGATCTGGGGGCAGGAAATCCATCAGGGGCGTGTTTTCTCAACAGGCAATCTGGAGGAGGGCTGAGTAGAAGGTTTTTCAAAGGCTGAACAATTTGATGCTAGCACTGGGTTCCAATTTGTGAGATGTGCCCTTGACCTTCGCCCCCTCTGTGCCCTACACCTGTAAGAGGGATTGCCTCATGCGTCCTGTCAGTTGACAGTGGCAAGCAAAGCTCTGGCAATGAGCCCTGCCCCTGGGACGTGCCCACTCTGTGTGGGGCAGAGATCCCTGTCTGAGTCGCCGGTCTGTGCCCAGCAGGCTCGGGAATGTGTGTGGGGGAAACGCACTCTCCATTCAGTGCGTGCTGCTTCCTGTGAGTTTGCGTTTTTTGGTGGGGAGGGGAGAGTTGGCAGATCCTTGGTCTCCCTCCACCCAGCATCCCCCCTTTTTGTGGGTCAGGGGCTGCCAAGCACTGGACCCTAGTTCCAGACACCAGGGGGCAGTAGAGCTCTGCCTCTGAGTCTGGCTACCTGGCCTAAGGCTGGCTCTGTGCCTGTCCTGTCACCCCACAGCAGCCTCTGGGCAGGGCCTGAGCCACTCAGAAGGAAACTGAGTCACTGGGCCAGGCCCAGCTCCCTCGGGGCTGCTTCCCAGGCCTGGCTGCTGAGGTCCCAGACTGCAATGTGGGATGGGCCGCGACCGGCGTCGTTTTAGGGGTACGTACCTCCCCAGGGAGGGGGGTAATGACTGGAGGGCTTGGCCCCCGTGGTCAGTGTCTATTAACTTGCACTGCAGTGGTCTCTCAGCTGCAGCCATGGCCAAGCCCTCGTTGTGCTAGGCGCTGTATGAACCCACAGCACAAAGGACGTCCCTGCCGCAGGAGGGGACAGCCCGAGCGCCCAGCGGTGGCTACAGAGGGAGTGAGGAGCACAAGGCGAGAATGAGCCAGCAGGCAGTGCTCTCCGCACACCAGCTGTCTGAGCACTGGCAGGTTTTGTCACCCCGGCCCCAGAGGGGTTGGCTGGAGGGAGGGCAGGCAGCAGGAGTGTGCGGCCATTCCCAGGGGGCCTCCTGTCCATGGGGGTCAGCCCAGGCACCTCCCTGTAGCCCTGGGAGCCTGTTCAGAGGGGAAAATTTTAAAACTAGCTCTGGGGGGACTGGTGAGCTGCTCCAGCCTGCTCCCTAGACTGCGAGATACAGGGCGGGAGGCGGGGGATTCTTTGCACTGAGACCTTAAAGCAAAACTCCCTTTGGTGCCAACAGGAACAGGATCAGGCCTTCACAGCACACTCCTGCGTGGGCTTCAGCCCTTATGACCTATGTCCTTCTCCTTCCAAAGATTTCTGCCCTGTTGGGCTGAGCCCTCCGTGCTGGTGGGTGACTGCTCCACCCCAGAGATGGCTGCATTTTTCTGCTGCTGTGTATGGGAAGTGCTGCCTTTGGTAGAGGGGTTGCTAGAGAAACGCACGGTTCTTAGCTGCAGAAAAGTGAAATAGCAGCCCCCATGAGGGGTTGGTCAATGAACAG